ACAGTGTTATGCTACAGTTCCATGACGTTAGCCCTCTGTCAGGAAGCAGGCACCTCTGCCCAAATTTGTCTTCCAGAAACTTGTTCTGGCCTTGGTGCCACCACATTCCTTCCTGCTGGCAGAGTCATTTCAGTGATTGTACATGGAACTGGCTCCAGGAGAAAAACTGAGCCAGACAGCAGAAAAAAAAAAACCAAACAATAATCTTGTTCCCTCCAGGTTACTTTTATGCATGTTCCTGTATCTCCAAAGGAGTGCTTGGAACAGTGTAGGAGTGCTCAGGAGTCACCTGCATGGAATGAGACAGAGAGGGGATGCTGTCTTTATCTGACACTACTCCAGTGTTCATTTAACTATCATTGTTTTGTGCTTGGCACTTTCACGTAACAGAGTGGCTCATTCCCTGAAGAAGTTGCATCATGAGTGAGTAAGGCAGAATTGTGGGAGCAAGGAAATATCTTCTCTGATTTTTATTGGGGAAATCGAGGCTTAGAGAATTAAACAACTTGCCTAAGAGTAGAAAGGCTGACTTGCCAAGAGCCGGATTCCAGTCTTCTGAATCACAGCCCTGTGCCTTATCCACAAGACCAACCTTTCTCTATTAGCATTTCTTTTCTCTCCACCCTGTTTTGAGGGAGGCACAGGTAGCATTGTTCTATGTCAAACAAACTTAAGAGTGTGGTACAGGAACGCTTCCAGCAGAATGACTTGAACAGCCTTTGAGTTTAACATTAATCTGGAAGCCATGAGTTTTTTGAGAATGGCTTCTTCATTGGAACCTTCCTCAGGACCAATAACCACAAAAGCTTTAACCACCAAAAGGTCTGACAGTGATTAAGTAAGACACCTCTGAGATTAAAACATATACTTCAAACAGCAAAAGGTTTCTTGAGGCATAGAGGGTTGGAAATTTCTAACCTGGCAGTAGGTGAGGCTTCAGATAGAGTGGACAAGAAAATAGGACTTAACTTTATTTTTTAAGGAGACAAGAGAGTGATTTTATTAATACTATTCTTATTCCTAGTATGATGTACCTTATTAGGGAGCCATATGCTGCAAGTGCCTTAGTGTCTGCTTAACCAGGTCAGTGACAAGGGCCTTATCTTTGATCGAAGTCAGATAGCTGGGAACAGGAAATAAAGACTTAACAGTTTGCCTGTGCTGCTCTGCTGTCACAGCCAGCTTCATTGGGCAATGCCTGAGCTGAGCACCGCTCTAGGCTTGACAAATGCCATGTCAAACTCTCAGTCCTTGGCTGTAGGAGGTTTTAGTTCTGGCTTCTTATCCCTCCTCATTACCCTGGCTTGCCCCATGGCATTCCCTGCCAGAGCAGGGAGCTTTATTCCTTATAGCAACGTAGGTGTTAACTGTGCTAGCACAGCAGCCAGTGAAAAGCAGCAGGGTAGGACTCGTCCTTGGACTTGATAAGTGGAGAGAAATGGAATCTTAAAGCACTTGCTTTAACTGGAAGACAGGAAGTGAAGCACTGGATCAGACTGGCCTAAGAATTCTGGTATCTCGCCTCTGGCTATAGCCAAAGTCAGCTGACAAAAATAATAGTGAAGCACCTGGCTTTTGTTATGCAATGCTGCAGGAGGGGAATTCCGTCCTGTTTTTGCAGAGATCTGCATATACCCAAAGCTATGACATGTTCTTACATTTCATGGCAGTTGCTGATGAGGGTTCTGTGATTGCCAAAGCTATACTCCAATCCTCTAGTTCACCTCACTCTCCTGGGATAATCCCTGTGCCGGGGATTCCGATTGCAGCGGAGCAGAATTGCATACAGGGTAGTCAGGGACAGAGGAATATCCTCATGGTTGCATGGCTTTCTGTAAAACCTCTTTAATTTACTTAGGTTTTTGTCTTTTTCTTGAGAAGGCTTTTTGGTTTCCATAGAGTTTAGGAACATGAATCTTTTATAAAACAGCTATGCTGGTCTTAAACTAAAAGCTTCTGTTGTGCTTTTCCCTGGCCATTGGCTTATGGCTACTGCTAAAGAAAACCCATCAAGAAAACACCCTGTTTTTCATGCTGTTCTTCCTCCAGTCACTTTGTCCAGGATCTTCCAGATCTAGTCTGTGTGTTCTGATGATGGGAGCTCATCAGTTTTACACAATGAAACTCTTCACATGGCTGGTTGTCCTCTTATCACAAGTTGTTTTATTTGAATGAAGAGAGATTAAGTTTTTGGGATGCTATGAAAAGTGCAATCCATTCATATTTTTTCTTAAAACTAATATGAAGGAGCATTTTGTACCAAAGATGCTGGTGTGTATGTGAGATACCACCTCAATTTCGAACGTGCAATCTTAAGGATTATCTCAGAGTAGCCTGTTCCTGCAAGCCCTAAGAATTAGTTCAAAAGAGCTGGGGAAAAGTAGGGAATGTTTATTATGTTTTAGTCATAACACGGTATTTGTATTGCCTGGAATACTGCCCTTAATTTCACATCGGTTTAGATTGTGTACCCCACAATAAAGGTTCCCTTCTGAAGAAATCAGAAGATACTTCTGTTTTGAACCTCAGCCTCCCTGGTCCCTTGGTCAGTGTTTACTCCAGTAGTGTCATGGCCTGGAAAAATAGGTGGGAGCTAGGGATATAAACTGTATTTAGGGAAGCAACAAAACTAATTCTTTCTGAGATGCTACAGTTTTTACTATCAGAGATTTGGAAAACCAGCCTGAGGAGAAGTAAGGGAAAGTATTTAGTCACTTCATACATCTGTGCCCACAACTTGCTTTACATCCAAACTCAAAACTCACACCTACAGCTTCAGCTATCCCATGGGAATTGCACCCCTTTCCTTTTAAAAATCCTGTCCAGGTCACCTCTGTGATCTGCAGGGATGCCCTCAAATTGGGAGCATTTCTCTGGCTGTTCAGCCCTGTGAATAAAGACTTGTACAAAACTTGCCCCACAAGGTGATCAATTAAAAAACTAAAGTATCTTCTAATATGAGTTGCTGACAAGCTGATTGTTTGGATGGGGCACTTAGCAGAGAGAATTCAGGTTGTGCATTTTCCTCTTTGCTGCTTTTGTTTTAGAGCAGCACAATTTTATTTGTGGTCTCTTTGTCAGTTCATGCTTTGGGATCACGTGTGCTTGTGTAGGTAAAGTTTAGGTTTGATTTAAAATATTACATCCACTTCACTGCTTTATTATATATTATCAATCATAGGGAATCCAAGAAATCCCTGAAGACGTACAAGTCCAGTCTGAATTTCTTATACTTTCAGGGCACTGCTGGTTTATATCTTTTGTGTTGTTTTGTTTTGGCTTTTTTTTTTGTGGGAAAGAAAATAAGAAATTACGTTCTTCTGGCAAGAAACTAACCCACACTCATGGAATTATTTTATTGTAACATCTGAATAATGTATTTTTTTCTTCTCTTTAATCATCCAAGGCTAATGTCACAGACATTTTGGTTATCCTGTGTTCTCCCTAGGATTCTTCTACTCCAATTTCAGTTATAAGTTTGACAGGGGTACACCAATCCTACCATGTGACAAACCATGAATCTTTAATGAGGGAAGTTTTGCTTGTGGGGTGGAGAAAGATAATTTTTGTTTATAGGAAATATGAGGATAGCTGAGCAAAACTAAGGTTATAAAGAAAAGTCCTGTTGAGATGGACTACAGAGCAGGAAGAAAAATAAGCATTTGGCAGCCTCTTCTGCTTAGTTACATGGCTTAGTGTATGAATTTGCAGATAATAGAACAGCATTTTCAGCTGTGCTTCATTTCTGTACATGCCAATAACCTTAGCTTTAGAAATAGGATAGCAGGCGAAAAGAAGCAAAAACCTATTGGTTTTGTACCTCACTTGAGTGTTCTTTCAGGCTTTTCTTATTTTATTAATCTTTCTTTTTCAGGGATGCTAATTGATTAAACTGCATTTTCACATGGGACAGTTTATTCCACTCCCGATTAAAGATTTAAGAAAAAAAATTTAAATTTTGTTGTTAACTAAGGAGTCTTGCACCACAGCTAGGTGTGGCCTTCCTGTTCCTTTGTGTTCCTCTTTTTTCAGATGTTTTTTTAATTTTCCCCCAGATCTGTCTGTTACTGACCTCTCCACCTGATCCAAACTTGGGGCTGTTCCCAGTGTTCCTTCACCTCTTCTCGCTGTGTCGGTGCCAAGCTGGGATATTCAGGATCTGGGATGCTCTGAAGGCTTGGTAGATTTAGAGCTGGTCATTGTGACTAAATCAGCTTGTTGGTGATTAGGTCTTACCTTACCTGCAGTGTTGGTGTATCCCTAGTGTACAGCTTAGTTATCGAATCACAGAATGGGCTGGAAAGGGCATTCAAAGCCTGTCTCGTTCCAACACCCCGCTTTGGGCAGGAACAGTTTCCACTAGGGCAGGCTCCTCCAAGCTCCATCCAGCCTGGCCCAGAACACTTCCAAGGATGGGGCATCCCCAGTTTCTCCGGGTGGGCTTGTTCCACTGCCTCACCCCGCTCACGGTAAAGAATTCCTTATCAGTATGTAATGTAACCCTGCCCTGTCATTTCAAGCCATTCCTCCTTGTCCTGTCGCTACAGGCCGTGGTAAAAGTCTGTCCTTGTCCGTCTTATAAACCCTGTAAGGGGCTTAGGTAGGCGCTGGAAGGCTGCAGTACAGTTTTCCCTTCTCTGGGCTGACCATCAGGCTCCATGCAACCGAGAAAAAGATGGGTAAGGAGAGCGCTTGGTGTCTCGAGGCTGGGAGAGCGGGGGGTGTAGGAGCGATGCTCTGCGAGGGTGAGGCTATGGAACGAAACAGGCTCTCGGTGAAATCAGAGCTGAACTTTTTTTCTCTGTACTTTGGGCCGCCGGGCAGGAGCGGAGGACAGCGCTGTGCCCGGAGCGGGGTCTCGGAGCGGCGGCGGTGGCGGGCGGGGCGGGGGCGGGCGGGGGGGGGCTCCGCCCCGCCCCGCGGCTCGGCGCGCACGTCCGCCCGCCCCACGGGAAATTCCCCCTGAAAAGGGCGGCGAGCCCGGCAGCCGCGGCCGTCCGTGAGTCCCTGCGAGGTGTGCGGGCCCGGGCCGGAGCCCCGCGGCGCAGAGGCCGGAGCGGAGCTGTCAGCATGGCCGGTGAGCGGCGGGGATGGGCGGGGGGAGCCCCCGGGGCCGCTCGGCTCGGGTGTTCGCACCGCGGGGCTACAGCAGCCGTGGGTTGTTGGCGTGAGTCGCGGTGGGATCTTACGAGGCTGTTCTATTTCAAGCGGATCTCTTAAGTCTTAAAATTGTGGAGTGGAAGCGGTTGGGTGTTAAATTAGCGCGGGGGTCTCGTGTTTGGGCTGCAGGCAACAGGCTGGAGGTTGGGTGATGCTCATCAGGATCCCGTTTACATCGGAACTCGGCTGTGAGAATGCAAATGAATGAGAAATAGTGATGGCACAAATGCAAAGTAATGCAGATAAGGGATCGCGCTTTGAGTAATTGCAACAAAAAGCACAATAAAGTTTCTAGAGGCTAAATTAGACCGAGTTCGTCATCCTTTCGGGAGGCGTCTCTCTGGTATCTTAGGATTAAAAAAAAAAACCCTAAATTTAAAACTTGGCTATACTAATTAGAATAGTATTTCTAGGCCAAGCTTCTTTTCAGAACCTGAGTGTGTGTGTTCTGTTCCCACTTAGCAAGCTACGAACTTTCACTCCTGATAAATGTACGTGTGCTAACAATCGACGTGGAGAAAAAACAGCCGGTGTTGTGCTTTAAATGTTAGGATGTATTTTAGATTGGCAACAGTGAGGAGAGAGAAGTTTCGGGTTTTTTTTTTTCTTCGCGTCTTTATGTATTTTCAGTGTAATTAGGAAGCAGATAAGGAATTTTTTCAGCGGGGGAAGTTTATAACTTCCTGGTATTAGCTAGCTTTTGTCGTGTGCTTTTTTTTTTTTTTTTTCTTTTAGTTGCCGTTTTGTAATGTAACACGATAGTAAAGAGGAAGTTAATGAGCGTTGTTTGGTCTCTGTTAGAATTTGTGCAGTTTATGGGGCCGTAGGTAAATTACTGCGTTTCCAAATCAAATCCTGTTAGGTTTCCAGTTTCTTCTACTTAAACCGGGGTGTGCTGTAACAAAGCTTTCACTATCCTCCCTCTTTGCCTGAGGTGTTGCAGAAGGTTACAAGTGGATAGATTCTTGCTTTTTTAGAAATGACAGACTTAGGGCCACCAGGGATTTGTTCAGAGCAGTGACATCAGAGTTAAAGGGTGACACTTCTCCCAGCCGGGTCTCATTGCAGTCACCTCGGGCCGGAGGGTTTCGGGTGATACTTTCACATCTTCCACAAAGACCCGCAGCTGCTTTGCTTTCACATGCAGATGTCGATGGAGAGTCTGTTCACCGGGCACCCTGGCTGTGCAAGAAAATGACAAATTGGGCAGTTCCGCCAGAGTTGCTTGCTTGGAGCAAAGGAACGAGACAGAACCCTTGAGCGGGCTGTCACTTTGCTTGGTGGCAGCGTGTCACGCTTCCTCCCTCATGGCACAGGCTGTGTTAAACTTTAAAACATGGGTTTCTTGTCATGGAGAGGTCTGATGGAAGTCTGCTCCGAGTTTTAGGGGTTGTCCTTTTGTTCCTCTTTGTATTGCTCAAAATGTGAGAATAAAACACCCTTTAGTTCTTGGATGAGCATAACTGGCTGAACTCTCAGAGCTGTCACTGCTTCTGCTTCTTTGCTTCTTTTCCTTGCTGAACTCTCAGAGATGTCACTGCTTTTACCTCTTTTCCTTGCATATATAATTGGGACACTTGATCTCCCATATTCTCTTTAAAATTATTCAGTGTTGTATTCAAGGCAGGAGGGGGGAAAAAGCAATTCAATAATAAGAGATTGACAGGCAGGTTATAATGTGTAGCGCAACATTTCTACTGCTAGCATGTGTATAGGCAATTAGAATTAATTACAAAGACAAATTAAACTCTTAAGAACGTAGATGAAGGATTAGCTAATTTTTTTTCTTTTCTCCTATTTCAAATGCTTTATGGAGTAGTTGTGGGCAGGCAGGTAATAAATATGAGTAGCTATGCATTTCTCTTCCAGAATTAGTGAGAGTTTGGGTTTTGGCGTATCTCAGATTTGTTTGACAAGCAAAGTGAGACCTGAGGACAGGTCTGTAGTGACTGTGTGGGAGCTAACAGACCTCTGTGTGTGTGTGAGAGTAGATTGTGAAATAGTTAAGCTGTGCCACTTGACAAGCACATTGCTGATTTACAGAAATAGGGAACACTGGACACTCATCTGCAGGGTGTTGGTAATGCCCCTCATCTGCACAAACACTTCCGTGTGTTTCCTCTCTACACAAAAACGTGATGACACTGATAATCACAGCAGAGATGATAACGTGATTCTTGAATAGAGAGAGAGGCAGCCAAGACCAAATGAAGTTTAATGTTTAATCTCTGGAGGCTGCCGCGTCACCGAGCTTTACTTTCCCACAAGCACACCTGCTGCCGAGCAGTGGGTTTACCTTCAGTCACATTTGCTTCAACCACAGCCCTGTAAAGATCACTGAGCCCAGAGTTCTATAATCAAGGGCTCTTGAGAGGTGAGAAAATAGCCCTCTCAAGAGAATATTAATAGAACATGAAGGGAAATCGTTGGTTAAAGCAGCAAGTGTTAAAGACCTCGAGTGACTGCGCTCTTGTAGTTTCGAGTGGCGAGGCTCTGGCTAGTTTTGACAAATACGAAGTCTGTGGGTGTCCTTGCACGTCTGCTTAGCAGCTATGTAAGCATGAAAATCTCCCAGTCAGAAGATTAGTAGGCACTTTGCTGTAATGTCATTTTAACTTGTAAAACAGATTTTTAATTTAGTATATGGATACTTGTGTTTGTGCTGATCAATGCAATAGCATAAGTAAATTGAAGTGTGAAAGTTAAAATAGCCATACACAAATGTGTGAGTGTGGTTTTGTGAGAAGCTCAGACTTCTGCTCTCCCTGAAACCAGCTTTACATCATTTCTAGGCTTTTTTGTCATCAGTGCCTGCCTTCCCCTTCCCTTTTGCTGGACTTGCTTGTTTTCCAGGATGAGAAAATATGCAAAGCTCCTCTAAAGGAGAGTTAGGTAGAGAGTGGGGAAGTATCCAGAAAAGGGATCCTGAGTAACTGCACCTTGACTAGTGGCTAATTTGTATTTAACGTGACAGCTCATGGCTGGTGATAAGAAAGGTATTTAAAATCTACCTGATGGGAGGTGATCAGTTTAGAAGCTGCATTTTGACTGACTGTTAGAAAGGTCTGTAAAGAGTCCTGAACCACAGTTCCCAAAGGTTTTGACCTCAAACACAGTCTGAAGTGGAAGTGCATTGTGCTTTTGAAGGTTTTGCAGAGGCTCCCATTGTTGAAGACCATCCCTGCACAAGAGCTGCTCTCACACGGTGGTGGATGCAGTTCCACCGCTGCCTGTAGGTGTGTGACAGATAAATGTGCTTTCAGGTCAGACTGAGGTGATGTCTCAGATGCTGTTCTTTCCATCCATCCCTTCTCTTCTGCTCTTGATTACTTTATCTCTTAGGTTATAATATTTTCCTACTTCGGGTATGAACTGCTGCAGCGCTGGAAATGTTTTGCGATCAACAAATCCCAGGGATAAAGTTCAAGCCTTGTGTTGGTAGGGGTGCCTATACCATTGTAGGTGCAGCAAAAGAGAAGCCTTTATTATGGAGTTAGGGTTGGAATCCACCTCTTTGCCAAAGCCTGTGTGCTGTGGACTCACAGGCAGCATAGACCTTGGGCAAAAGGAAGTAGGGGTTCTTTTACCCTTTCAGCACTTTCAATATATTTAATAACTGTTTTGCTTATTATGTTGAAGTCCAAGCGCTTTTTTTTCAGTGCTGTGCCACAGGATATTGTCTATCCTGTTTGTTTGTGATGCTCAGCCTTGCTTGAGGAGGATGCCATTATATGAAGATGACAGAGAGCTCAGTAGACATTTCCATAAGCTACGTTCTTCTGATCGTGTAGCACTGTGATGATTCAACTTCACCAATATTTACTCAGCCTCTGTTTGTTTTTCACATGCCATCCCACTGTTGTCACTGTTTGATTGACTGTCCTGTTTGATGTTCTCAGTGAGATATATTAAATAGCTTGTTACTGTCAGGCCATAAAACATCACTTGAAAAGTACTTAGACTCTTGCTAAGTTCATGTCTTTCTAAGCCCCCCATTTAAGAGTTCTGCTGTCTCTTATTCTCATCTGTCACTCTGTGTTTTCTGGAAACCTCCCTTCTGACAAATGCCCAATAGCTTTTCTGAGGTTTCATTGTCTGGGGAGATACTGCTACTAGAAACCAGCCCCATGGGAGATGGGCAGCTCAAAATGTAGAATTCAATACGAGCAATCAGGTATTTTTTGGGCTCACAGAGATAGTATTCCTCCCAGTAGGGTGGGGTTTTTTTTGCATAATTTGAATAGTTTCTGCTGCACTGTGATAGGAGCTAAATCAATCTATTCTGAGCAAACATCTTCACTTTCAGAGGATGCTTAAGAGAGCACAGCAGTTGACAGCACCAGTTCTTGGAGAGGACAGCCATTCTTAAAACTGCATTATTCCTAAAAATGTTAAGCATTCCCTCAAAATAACGATTTGGGTTTTGTTGTATAAAATCTTCTTTCATCGGACACGTCTTCTATGATGGTTATAAGAAGCTACATTCTAGATGAAATGGAGGGAAGGGTGTCTTTTTTTGCTAATTACTTCCGTGGCACTGGTACCGTGGATCCATCCAAATCTGTTCTCTCCCCTTGTACCTTCAACATGTCCATGTACATAAAAATAGAGTAGATTTTCTGATAAGGTAGACCAAGTGGAAAAATGGTAATGTGAATCAGGAGTCTAGAAATTCTAATTCTTGCATCTTCTGCTGCTTTTTAAGCTGTACTGTGTCCTAACATTGAAAATATTTTATTTTTAAGGTGGCCCTGAGCCCTACATTGAAATATTTGAGCAACCCAGGCAAAGGGGCATGCGTTTCAGATACAAATGTGAGGGAAGATCAGCAGGCAGCATTCCAGGAGAACACAGTACTGAAAACAATAAGACCTTCCCTTCCATCCAGGTAAACACCGCTTTTATCCGGGAATTACCATTGCCCACGTTACCGTGGTGCTCGTAGCTATGTGTTGGACTCTGCACAGTAAATACAATGCTTTTCATCTCACGTTCTGGGAGATTCTTTCCTTGGCATGCAAATGGAGTTGCTGCAGAGTGGGAAAAGAGTTACTTGCTCCTGGTCACGAAAAGATTTGGTTTACAAAAAGAGGAGAAGGTGCAGAGGTGGTTTACAAAGTACTGCTAGAGGGGACGCAGTGAAGACTCGAGGTCTGGGAGCCACTCATTAGCAGCTTTCTCTGTATGCACGTTTGCTCTGCTTTCTTAGTTAGGTGACGTGGGTTTGGTTTTACGGTTTGGACTGCAGCACAGATTTTGGGAGAGCGTTGAAGTAATTTGCCTACAGAACGTGGAAAGGCTTTGAAACGTTGCTGGGCACAACATGAAAGAAGGCGCTTCGTACGAGCGAACGATCGCCCGTGATGCGGCAAATGGGCTCTGCAAAAGACACCAGCGTGAAGTGTGTGAAGTCAGAACTTAAAAATGAACTGAGAAGGGGGAATTGTGTCCTCAGAGCATCTGCAGTGATGATGAGTTGGGTGGTTGCACCATGGGTGGTGGGTTGGGAAATCCAGAGTGAAGGGATTCAGAGGAGCCCGGAGAGCTGCGATTAAAGCAGGGACAAGGACAGAGACAGTGGAGCTGGAATGGAACCACTTGGGCAATAGGTTAGACAAAGGAGACCCCTAGACAGGTAGGGTAAGGTAATAGAATTTCAGGTCCCCTATCTGATATTTGAGTTGCCAGTATTTCCTTGATCTCTTTCAGTTTGGAGGAAGTCTGTCAGAGCTGAGATTAGAGGAGAAAGCTTACATTTAAATGGGAAGTTAGTTACGAGCGCTTGCCATCCTCCTGCCCAGGAACAGAGGCTGTGTATCTGTGTTTGCAGAGTGTGCAAGTATAAAAAAAACAGTGTGGAGCCCAAAAATGGAGTCTTTGGAATCACAGCAGGAAGTGAATAGAGAAGATGTGAAATATGACAAATATGAGATGTTTTATGCTGAGGCACAAAAGCCCTTTAAGAGGGAAAGTTTGAGAAGGAGAGTGTTGGCAGTCATGTGTTGAGCAGCAGAGTGAGTCTATTGCATAAAGCAACTGTGGAAGCTGGTCCAGCCCTGGAGCCAGAATTTCTAAGGGAAGAAGCAAAGAAGGTTTCCCTTTGACTATCAGAGTGCCAGATTTGGTTAGGGAATGCAGGAAATGGAGATGGTGCCAGACTCATTTTTTCAGCACTCTGCCAATTGAACAAGGAACTGTGTGGGCTGTTGGCAAGAGTAGAGGCTTGCACAGACTCTCAGCCTAAGTCTGTGTCAGGGCACAAGCTGAATGGGCTGAATCAAGCCTTGATTCCTCTTTTCTTGGACTGTGCTGTACATGAAGTCCAGGCAGAACCCAAAGGGGAGGTGGGACATGGGTACGTGACTATGCAAGCCTGGCCAAGTTTGTTCTTTTGAAAGGTGACTATTGATGACAGAGCTGATTGTACTGATAGCAGGTGATTTCTAGGTGAATTCCTGCCTCCCTGAAGCCCGTGGGAGGCTTTAGTACTGATTGGGTTCCAGGGGAGTCCCCTCTAGAGATGGAAATGTGAAGAGAGGGGCCAGGAAGAGATTAAATTTCATGGTGTGGTTATGAAGATGAGCATCAGGGGGGAACTGGGGAACCAGAAGCAACTAGATTAGGCTTCATGTTCATGGGGCTGGGTGTGAAATGAGGGAGAAATGATGTAATGGTTGAAGAAAGTGAAGGAGCAGTGGAAGTACCATTTAAAGGGTAAAAAGTAACAGTGGCTTGTATGAAGACTGAATAGAGCAAAATTGGAGATTGATGCAAACAGATGATTACAGGTAAAAGAGCACAGTTCAAGTCAAAAGGTTTGAGGTGTTGACTAAAAAGGATTGTGATGGATCCTTGGAGTTTCAGGAGGAGGAAAGAAAGGGAAGGAGAGGAACTGTGGAAGTGGAGGAGGAAAGCTCACCTCTGCACAAATGTGTGCCTGAGCAAGTCTTGTATTTGCTTTCAAGTTTTTATGTGTCAAGCAATTTAGGCCAAACTGTTTTTCCTCCTTTTTTTTTTTTTAATTTTACACTCCCCCACACTTGGTGACTTCACTGGTAGCCCTGTGCTTGAGGTTGCTTTTATGCACCTGAGAAAGAAGCATTGAATTAGCTGATGACTGCTGTGAAAGCTCTGGTAGGAGCTTGAGACTTTGGTACTCCCCCAGCTTGAATGTAATATTGAATACTCATCTGAGAATTAGTTGGGAAAAAACCCAACAGCTTCAGAGGGGATTGTGTCATGCTGTATCTGTTAAGATCCTCTTTCACTCCCTAGTGTTCCGTGCACAGGTAAAATCCTCATCCCTGAGGCTTTTTGAGTTTTTTCCCCCTAAAATCCTTGGAGGCAGACTTGTTCTTCAAGTAACATTTCTGTATGGTCACCTGCATAGCTCTGGTGTTTCTTCCATAGAGCATTTCAGGATAAAATTTATTTTCTGTAACAGGTGGGGACTGATACCTAAATTCTTGAAAATACCCTGCTTTTTTTTTGTTGTTTTTTTTAGATTCTGAACTATTTTGGAAAAGTCAAAATAAGAACTACACTGGTAACGAAGAGTGAGCCCTACAAGCCACACCCTCATGATCTGGTTGGAAAAGACTGCAGAGATGGCTACTACGAAGCTGAGTTCGGGCCAGAACGGCGAGTCCTGTCGTGAGTAATGGTGTTGCATGGGACTTTGATTAATTATGCAAGTGATTTGCTAATCTTGTGTTTTAAAACTCATACTAATGATTAAAATAGCAATTAGAATGCTGTCTTTGCTGTAGGTTACTAATCCATCTCTGGGAACTTCCCTTGGAAGTATTTCCTTCTTTTTTCAATGCTGCACTTGTGCTTTTTCTTTCCTGTTGTCCTTTTCTTTATCCATTCTCCCAATGTCTGTCTTCTTTTCCTTTCTCCCACTTAGTTTTCTTAGCTTTGTTCATTAGTACATCTTACTCTTGAGCATGACTCTTTCCTGCTTGTAAAAATGATGAGTAACAGAAAGGGTAGCAGCATTAGAATTCGTATTTTGTGGTGATGAGGGAAGTTCACATCTTCCATAGTAATTATATTTGGACTTTCTGGAGAAAGTTTGTTGTGGCTGAGTATCGTGTAATCTAGAAGACAGTGGTTGTGACACATCTAGAAACGTGTTAGTATCTGTCACTGTTGTTGCCTGTTGTTTGGGTTGGGGTTTTTGAGTGAAAATACACATTCTGCTCAGGCCCAGCTCTGAAGAGTAAGTGTGCCAGGGAAGGATCTGCTTGTGGATGCAGTGAGGAAAACCCAGGATGTGTTCTCAGAGCATTTCTCAGAGCTATTAAGAATATCTCAATTACAGTTGTGTTTGATGGTGTTTCCTCTAAGTTTACCAAGTCTCGTGTAACAAAATAAAAGCAGAATAAGCTGCAGCAAGCATGGAGTGATTATTGCTGGAGAGGGGAATTTAGAACTGGCAAGCTGTTTGTGGTTCACAGTTTGCAATGAAGGAAATATGGAAGTAGGCTATTGCTTTGGGGTAAGCATAACTGACCTGGGAAGAAAATCAGGTAAATATTTCAGTGTATAAGTAGCTCTTACACACAGCTCTCAGGCCAATGGGATTCTGTTGGTGTTGGTGAAATTACTCCATGTTTACATGGGTTTAGTCAGTAGGACGCTATGAAAGGAGAGAGCTGAAGACACATCTGTTTTGAAGGTGGTGATTGCCTGACAGTGAAATAAACAGTGGAGATGCTTCTTCAGCATCCAGCCCAGGCTCAAGGGATCACGGATGTGCTGCAGTGTGTTCTGGTGGCACAGGGCACGCTGACTTGCAAACATCCTAAACTCTAACAGGAGTTAGAGCTCCTTCTGACCACCCATTCACCAGCTTCCCCTTTGTCTTCTCAGATCAGGCTTCCTCAGCCAAGGTCAAAGGAAGTCCTCTGTTCTGGCCCATCCCACTTCCTCCCCTCAGCTCTGTGCCTGCTGATCCGAAGCAGAAAAGCCTGATTGCTTAACACCTTTCCTGGCCCTGTGTTCCCATCACTGAGTGCAGGAAGACACTGACGATTGTTTCTCCTTTTGGCATTTTTTGGTTGCACAAGGTTCACTGTGGAGGCACGAGGCGAGCCTGTTAGAGAGGCCATTGCAGGATGTCACACCAAGAAGCACTGGGATGCTCTGCAAATATTTATTTGCAGATTGTGATTTCATCTCCTTTACGTGTTTGCATCGAGTCCTGTCCTTTGGCATAATGCCACACCTCTGTTTCACTTCAGGCACTGCTGCTTGTTTGCTCCATCCATAAATTCTTCTCAATATTTTTAGGATATGAGCCTCTCAGTTTCCTACAGAATAGTAAGTGGGCTGCTTTCATTTTATTGATAATGTGAAGCTGTGAGCTTTGTGTTTGACACTGGAGATCCTGATGGGAGGAGGCTCGACACATTTCCTTTGAAATGTTTCCAGCATCGGTACACTCATTTTTTTTTAACAAATCATTGGTTGCTTTAAGATGAAAGAACAGTATGATCCATAATTGGATCTGGATGTTTAAAGTCATTTTCCTTTTTGTGGCTGGTGACTCAATCTTCACATTCTTTTCTTCAAGTCCATGTTGGAGAAAAGCTTCATCCAGTACTGGTGAGCAGGAGATGTCCTCTGTCAATAGTGTTTCTGGCTCTTTACTCTTGCTGAGCATCCCAAATTGAGCAAAAATCCAATTTTTTTTTTTTTTTTCTCCTCAGTACAAGTGGAATTATTAATCACAGATTTTTGGGCTGCTCTGAGTAATTACTCTGCTTTCTGCTGTTCAAAGTTCCCCATGTTTTAAAGTTCCCAAGCATTTTGTTCTGCCTGTGGTATAATGATCTTTGTACTGCTGCCCAAACTTGATCAGAGCCCTCCCTGGCCGAGACATCAAGGCAAGAGTATGAAAGAGCTTGTGGGGCTGCCTGTGTATTTTTACTTCCTAGTTTCCTCTCTCTACAAAGATGATACTGCTTTTTTAGATGTTTTTCATTTTTTCCTTCTTCCTACTTCTCCCTCTCTCTTCTCGTTATCTCACTTGCTTCCTGTCAGCGCCCATCGATGTGAAACCCCACAGCCCTGCTGGGGCTCTTGGCAGTTCCTCCTCTGGCCCAGCCTCTGCTTAGGCGTGGTTAAACACACTTTCACTGTGACAGCTTAGAAAACATTGATAATCTGAGAATTTCAGGCTGCTGAAAAGCCTCCTGTCCATGAGAGGCTTCGTTTGGGGGTAAAATAAGGAACTGCCCCTGTCTGTGGGCTTTGAAGTGTGCTTCAAACAGTCTGTGGAGTACAGTGGGTGTTCTGAGGAGGGGGAAATAATGTGTGCTGTGATCAAGCCCTAAAGAAAGTACTTCCTCCAGGAGCAGGTGGAAATAGGATTGCTCATCAAGGTACAGTCCCAGTCTGAGTGTCAGTAGCCACGATATGAAGGCAGAGTGCTTTAGTGAATTACGAGATGCTGGTGTGTTTAATTTTCCCCTAGGTCACATCATGTTCAGTTTGCAAAGGAAGCCTTTGCCTTCCTCTAGTGAGCAGAGGTTCTGGAAGTGGAGCTTGGTGGCAGAGGGTTTGGCAGATGAGGGAGTTCAGGGAAATTAAACTTAACATCATGCTGGGATAGTCTTGTTCAGAAGTGTACAAGCACTTTTTGCAGGAACAAGGAGTACCTTTAGGTGCATTAAGATGCTCTTCTGCTAAAGCAAAGAAGGTTTGTGGAGTTTCAAAGGAAGGGAAATAGCTGGGACTTCTTGAGAAAGATGCCTACTGGCATAACCCATCTTCAGAGCTTATTGTAACATCATGAAACACAGATTATTTATTTAATTCTTCTTTTTTTTTTTTTTTTTTAACTTCCTGCTTTACATCCACTCAGCTTTGATGATGTCATGGTTTTTCCATGTGGGAACGAGTCAGCCTGCCTGGGACTCCCCCCACCTCCTGCATCAGGGTGACCTGCACTTTTATGCAAATCAGGAGGAGCTGCAGCTCTTCAGAACTTTTCCATAACTATGTGAGATTTAAAAACCTGTTTTGACCTGTTAAAAAAAACACATTTATAATAGTATTTAAGACTTAAATTCCTTGCTAAAAGCAGGAGAACAAATCCTTTAACTAATACAAATTACCAGATTTATTTATTGCAAAAATGATTGCCACTATAAATCACCCAAGACTGAGTATCTAACTTTTTAATCACTGTAGGTTTTACTGCAGGGTAATAATTTTTAATATAGAAATATGTCCTCAATAATGTAAATTATTTAGAATTTTTTTTAGGTTTTTTTTTTGTTTCTGTGTCTGCACTTACTTTAGGAAAAACAGCATCTCTGCTCTTCAGGTCTTGTACACCCTTTTCAAAAGAAGCTTTTTAAAATTTCTTCCACTGGATGTTATCACATTAATTAACATGAATATTTTACTTAATAGTCTACACTGAAGATGTTATTAGTTGCTGAAATCTTGCCACATATGCTTCAGTTTTCAGAACTTGGGCATTCAGTGTGTGAAGAAGAAAGACCTGAAGGAATCAATTTCCTTACGAATCTCCAAGAAAATTAACCCTTTCAATGGTGAGTGGAAATCAGCTGATTCTCTTGGCAGGGTGATGGGGTTTTGTTTGTCCTGTCCTGCCTTTGCTTTTGTGTTGGAGCTTTATTTTGTGTTGGAGCTCTCTTTCTGAGGAACAGTCTTCCCCTTCTGTGTCCCTCCCAGTCTTTCTTCCCAGTCATCACATGATGACTCTATTTGGACAGTTGCCCCTTTTTTTTATATTGAGTTTTTGTGATTCCCAGCAGCAGTCTGAGTTGCTGCTTGGACAGAAGGAATGGGATAGCAGCAGAAACCTTTCCTGGAAACTTCTACAAATGTCTTTGGAGTTGGATTTCCCCACTTTTGGCAGTGATGAGAGCAAAAGACTGAATTAGCATAACTCTGCGACAACTTAAGCCAATACAAATCTCACTTGCCACTTTCTCATCTCTTGCTGTGTTTTTGTGACCTGGTCAGGGGGCTGGTAGCCCCTGGGAACTGCCCCTCACTCGATTTCACAACATGGGAGCTCAGAAATCCACAGCAGGATTGCAGTGTCAAGGCTGGGTTGGCCAGGGTTTGGAGCAGCCCGCTCTGGTGGGAGCTGTCTCTGCCCTTGGCAGGGGCTGGAACAAGATGATCTTTCAAGTGCCTTCCACCCCAAACCATCCTGTGATGCTGTGGTTGGGCTCATCAAGGTCAGAGGCAGGACCTGCTGCTGCAGAACCACACCTGTGAGGGCTTGCCCACAGGGTTCTGTTTGATGTGACTGATCTGTGGGCTGCTCTCAGAAGGAGTCATCCTGCTCTTCCCTCCATCCCTGCTCACACGCTCCCACCACTTTCCTCACACCACCACGCGCAGGGGCTGCGTGGCCTCGCAGCGAGTTGCTCCAGTGGAAAACCAACTTGAAAACAAAAAAAAAAAAGGAGAGTGGTTTCCCTTCAGATCGACTTGCTAAACCAACTCCCCTCACAGCAGTTTAACTGCCAAGTTCTCTGCACAGAGGGGGTGGGGAACACACTGCAAAGTTTTGGGCTAGCTGGAGTGGGACCAACACATGCAGAATGCAGGCACAACTGAGGGGAATTAGATGAAAAGCATAAATACCCCCAAATTATTAGCTAAGCAGTGTCAGTGTATTCATGTATTTCCCTAAGTGTGGCAGGAGCTTGGAGACACTTCCATGGGTTTTGTAATACCCACAGAATTCTTGCTCAGGTAAGATCTCAGGTAAGATCCTTTATGGAGACATGAGAGCTGGATTTCTGGCTGGCTTTAAAATGCATGTCCCTGAATCAGGACAAAAAGAAGGATGTTGGATTTATCACAGAATAAGAAATGTCCTAGATATTTTTCTTAATTTTGGAGCAGCTGTTTGGAATCGGGTTGATGGCCCTGATGACCCATCTGAACAATTACCCTAGTTATGATAACATTTGCACAGAGTATTTTGACAAGGCTTCAGTTCATCAGCACAATTTAAACACTTTAAGGGCTTGAATTATGTTGCCTTGACTCAGGCAGCTCTACCTTGATTTCAAACAATAAAAGGGGAACTTTTCTGTAGAAGGAAGTAGATTTTTACAGTTGGCACTTAACTCCAGATTCACTAATAAATTCTGGGTGATTTTGCTTGCTTGTGTTTGATAGCATCCAGGCAGATCCTGGGCTGCTTCCCAGCAGTCCAGCAGTGGAGGGGGCCACTCCAGCAGGGGAGAGCCTGCCTGGGTGACACACAGGGCAGCAGCCTGCTCTGGGCAGGGACTGTGCTGACAAGGGGCCGCTGGCAATCCCCAGCTGTGTCACTGCCCTTTGGCTCATGTTAACGTGTCAGCACAAAGCAGAGCCACTTGAGAATGGCCTCCAGGGCAGTCCCACGCTGAGCAGAGCCTAGAAAGGCCTGGGACCAAGGTCTAATAAAACAGGATTAGTGACAGGAATATTTTTATGTGTTTGTTTAGTTGATCAGAACAGAGCTTTGTGAGCAGCAGTCACTGCAGTGTTTGCTGCTTGATAAGGTTGAAAGTTTTATGTGTGGATTTAGTTTGTTTTTTAAGGTCAGAGGAGTGTTGGTACATTTTCCAGGATAGTGCAGTCTGTGCTAAATCCATCCTGCATTGTGCTTTACCTCTGTGTCTTCAGAAAGGCATCTGACATCCCTGTTCAGAGACATTCCGGAGCTGTGCATCCTCTAAGCAGGTCGCAAGTTGGTGTTACTCATTTCTCGTATGACATCATCAAAGAAACTTCATGGAAAACGAGCCTTCAGGGTGCTTGTGTGTTGGTTGGCTTTTCCTTCTCTTTCCCACTTTCTTCTGGAACAAATATTCCTTGTCCTGAGCCTCCTTTTGGGAAAGAGAGCTTCGGTGTTGATCCTAAACAATTGATGCCTGCCTCGGAATCCCTGGGTGGTTGGAATTGGTTTGCGGATCGCTGCCGTGTGCCCAGCTGGAGGTGTCATTCTGCAAGTGTACCTGTGTAAGGCTGTCTCCCTGTGAATTCCCAGTGTTGGCTGGCAGCCTTTATCCCTTGTGAAGTTCAGCACAGGCTGTAGGAGCTGTGTGCATTCACTAGGGTGGATGACTGGCAATCAGGTTGCTCCTCTTGCGTTAGCCTTGTTTGGGAGAGAGGGAATTGCTGTTTCCGCACCGTGTTCACGATCTGTTGTGTTCCCAAAGCACATCCTATATATTTTTGTCATCTAACAGTCTCAAGAATTCTAGAAATCCCTTTAGCCTCTCATGTCTGAGCACTCCTGGGAAATGGGGCACGGTGTCAGCCTAACATGTAACTAGGACTCCTTGGCTTGGTGATGATGATACAAATAGCACATGGTGATACAAACAGCAGAAGGAGCAGAGTTACTCCTCCAGTGGAGCTGGTCCATGTCTGCTTTCTATGGTGTTTGTTTTCTTTTAGGAGCTGTTGAGTTGTGCCATATCCTTGTCTTCCCATGCACTGTCTGATGTACAGCCAACTCAAATTAAAAGAAGAGCCAATTTTCAGTTAAGAGCTTTTGTGAGTGGGTGTGACTTGACATAGAGACAACAATTGAGTTAATAACAGCTCGAGTTAATTGTCAATGAGGAAAAGCCCTAAGTGTTTTCTTTAAATTAGGGAAAAACTGTACTCAGTGCAGTGTTACAGAGGACTGACCTTTTTCCAGCCAAATGCGTGACAGCGTGAAAACCCCGGACTTGTCTTGGAGTGAGAACCCCGGAGAATCGCCAAATTCCAGGCAGTTTTTATCAGAGGGGATAACCTGACTTTCCCTGGAGCTTGCCAGGTTTAAGCTACCTGCTCCTTTGCAATTTCTGGTGCTTACGAGCGGTGCAGTTCAATTTTGGGCTCTCCCCCACACCTAAACACGTCTGCCTGTGCCTCCGCAGTGTTTCCTTTGCCGTTTCCCCTTTCCGCCCGCGAGCAGCTGACCCTGCGGCGGCTCCGCGCTCATCGCCGTCTGTGCCGTGACGCCCCCGCCGCGCTCTCCTCCTGCCCACGCAGTCCCCTCTCTGCAGTTTCCTCCAGCGCTGCTTCCACGAGAAACCCCCTCTCCTCTGCCCCAGGATCCCCCTCTCCGTGGGGAGTTTTGTGGAGCCGTGGATTGCACGAGCGGCTCTTGGCAAGCATTCTTGGGCTGGGAGTGGGTTGAAGGTGTAATGATCTCCTGGGATATCACAAGGAACTTTAAGCTTCTTTTCTTGTATGAACACAAATGTGCAACCCCCCAGTTAAATCCTGAGGTGTAAAATCATAGCAGCGAGAGTCATCAGCTTTAGAAGAGAGAAAAACAGAGCAAGCTCACTCAAGGGAAGCTGTGTGTTCTGATCACGGCATGACTTTAGTACTTGCCTTTGGAAAGCTTTGTTCTTCTGTTCTCATGCAAATGCTCCTTTCTGCTTATTCCAAAAGGTGTGTGTTAATATAAAGGACAGCCCCCTTTCAAATTGTTTAAAAAGGAAAATTACCAAATAGCAAGACAAAAATGCTGACTGCTTGATTTTTTTATGATAGAAACAGGAACTGCTAAAGAAAGGTATTGGGAATGCACAGAGGCTGATGGATACACTCATATAAAACTGTTTTCCTTTTTCACGTTGAACTTAAAACAGGAAAAGAAGCCAGCAAAACATTGTCTAGGCAAAACAAGTGCTGCATTTTGAAAGTTTTAATTGGTATTTCCATTTTCTTTCCTTGGCCAGGCCTTTCACCTTCCCTGCATTTCTTTCTTCTGTAAACCAGGGAAATGTATCCATAGAAGTCTGGGCATTTACTGACTGTAGAATAGCATCTGAATTTTAGTTGTTTGCACTCATCAGCTCCCTGTGTTTTTGCTTTCTGAAAAATGGGTTGCTGATGCATGTTCTGTTTCAAGGTACAAGTAAAAGTTTCTCTTTTTTCTGCAGAATTGATTGAAAATTACGTTTTTGTGGATCTCAGTGGAGTAAAACAGGTGTGGGTGTATCAGGAGAAGAAACACAGTGCTGCCACAGTGCTTCCCTCCCCTTGTTCCCAGCTTCACCAGGACTCTTCCTCAGGGACTGTGGTCCTGTCACTATAGGACAATGGGTTCAAACACAAAGAGGGGAAATTTGGGTTGGATATATGAAGGAAATTCTTTAATGAAGGTGAGGCCCTGGCACAGATTGCCCGGGGAAGCTGTGGCTTCCCCATCCCTGGAAGTGTCCAAGGCCAGGCTGGACAGGGCTTGGAGCAACCTGGGACAGTGGATGGTGTCTCTGCCTGTGGCAGGGGGTAGGACCTGGATGATCCTTAAGATCCCTTCCAACCCAGACCATTCCATGATCCTGCCTCTCGGGAAGCGTTAGTGAAAGGCTACTCCAGTGCAGCTGTGGCTGCAGCAGGGACATAGGCTGGGGGAATGAGCTGGCTCTGAAATGGATCTCCTGGGCACCGAGAGGGACCTGTGACTTGCAGAGACTTTCCCTGCCTGGTTGAACCTGGTGTAAATCAGCACCAGCTGTGGAAGAAGCTCCGCTTCCACCGATTCCCTTGTGCCGGGGCTGCCTGTCGTGGGAACCAGCTGGCTGAACACAAGCCTTTTCCTCTTCCCTTCTGGCAAGATAGTTCTGAGCCAGACCAGTTCCTTGATCTGATTCACCACATGAGAGCTGAGCCAGCCTGAGCAGTGCTGGAAAGCTTGGGCAGAGCCACCTTTTGCAGCAAAGCCTCTGGCATGGACCGAGTTAGACTGCCCGGTCGGTATCAGGGCCAAGGGGGGTATCTTTGTATTCCAGGAGCAAAACCCTGGAGGCAAACCACCTCTGTGTCATCCCTTAATGAAACTGAGCTCCCAGCATATCCCTAAATTAAAAACCCTCATCTGCGTAAGAGAGAAACAACTCATGATGATTATTAATGCTGTGTGTTCCCCACACATGTGGGGGGTGATGTGTGATGATTATTAATGATGTGTGATCTCTGGGGTGTTTTAACTTGTGGAAGGTCATTCTCTTTGACATCTCATGTAGCTCATGTGGCCCTGCAGCCCCTGGCTGAGGGGGAAGGTCACAGGATGTCCCTTTTCAGGGTGAGTTGTGCTCTCCACAGAGCCCCCTCTCTGTGTCACACCACATGGTTTGCCCTGGAAGTTTCCATGCAGGTTAAGTTGAGATGCCTCCAGCTCTGCCCACTCCAGAAGGCTGACATCATTAGCTGGGTGATGGGCTCTGTGTGAGGGATCTGCTGTTTGATAGGTGTCACATTATCAGTCAAAAAACCAAACCCTTGATAGTTTTCTTCAATGTTCAGAATAAACTTTCACTTTCCCTGAAGCATCACCTTACAAGTGAACATAAAAGCCCTTAATCCCCCATTAATTTAATCATATAAATGGCATTTTATTGGCCTTGCTGGATGTTGAAAGCTGTTGAAATACTACAAAACCTATAAAACTATAATTAGAAATTAATAAACAGGACGCCTGACATTACCAGCATCTTTAATTTTGTGTCTGAGCTTGGACTTGCACGTTGGTGTGTTGAACCCAGAAAGTCTCCAATTTTGTATTACAGAAGCAAATCCAGCAGCTTCTCAGTGGAATTCAGTGGAATCTCAGCGGGGAATCTCTGGATTTTACAGACAAAATCTTGGAGACAGGGACAACCCAAACCTAATCCTTAGGAGCTGCCCGGATCAGCCAGCTCAGGTTGGAAGGAGTTCACAGTTTAGATTGTGTGGGGTGTTTTGCCCACAGCAGGACTGTATTGGTCTCAGATAATGGGTTAGGGAATTATTTTCAAGATAATTATTTAGTAGAGTTGAGGAACCAGCATTTTGTTCAGAAGAGTCAAAACCAGATCTATAATGAAATTATTTACTGGTTATTGTAGCACCTTTCCAGATGAACAGCAAATCCTCCCTGGGTTTGGCTGTAATTCCAGGTACTCCTTTTGCAACCCAATTGCCAGAATCTTGGTGAGCAGAGTTGGATTTCTTTTACCATGGTGCTGCATGGTATTTTTATGGGCTTTTTTTGCATCATATTCCACCTTTACCTTAGAATTTCAGTTATTTTTTAAATATTATTTTCATTTCTATGAGTTACTTCTGAAAGCTCCTTGTGAAGCATACAAATAGTCCTTCATGTGTTCCTGTGTGCAGAGAGAACTGGAGTTAAAGGATTTCTGCTGGATTAAGGCGAGGTTTGCCTGGGCCATCACAGGAACATACCCAGGTTTTTGGCTGGCTTCCAGCTCTTTCAGCTGGATCCAGATGAAGACACTAAGGTGTGGTACCACACAGCGAGCAGCAGTCAGAAGAGGAAGTTGAACCCTTGCCAAAACCAGAGAACTTCTTCCCTTTTTGTGTTTCTTTTTCTTTGGATGGTTTTTTCACCACACCTGTGCCCCCAAGCCGCCGCATCGCGCGATGTTTTTACTTCACGTGCGCGATGCCCCCGATTTCGGTCCTGCTCACGCGGAGCTTGCAGGGCTCGATGGAGAGTGGCTGCTCCTCCTCTCCAGCACATAGCGTTCCCAAAATCTTCGACAGCGTTTCCTAACTTTAATAACTTCAGGTTTGTCAGGTTTAGCCCCGTCTGTTGTCCTTCTGCACAGGAGTTGGTGGAACAACACGGAATGACGTGACCATCCTCCATCTGGCCGCACTCCAGGCGTTACTCAGGGTGTTTGTCTGCCTCGGCTTTGTTTGCTTTTAATATTCCCAAGGTGTAAGCCAGCATCCATTCCAAGTTAGTGGCTGCTCTCAAATTGACTTCAGAGGGAGCAGAATTAGATGTTTGTTAAAAATAACATTACTTTGTTTTGTTTGCGTGATTGTCTTGTTTTGAAATTGGTGAAAGCTGTGCGCTTCTTCATATGCACTTGGAATCTGGTCTTGCTCTTTTTTTGAAGCGTGTCGTCACAAGATGGAGTTGCAGCTGTCTTGTTCTCCTTTTTTTTGCTCTCTTATGTCCTTCTTGTCTGGTTAAAAATAGCCCAAGAGGAATCACTCTTCACTGAACGCTTCCTCTTTCAAACTACAGATTTTTTAAAATTCTATGAAATCTCTTATAAAAACATGCAAATCAGGAGCAGTGGGTTTTGCTGCAATAGAATGAGCTGTACACAGTGATTCTGTCCCTTGCCATTCTTGGCACCCCACTCCTGTGTCAGGTGTTAAACAGATTTATTGGGAATTTGCGCAAGTTTGTAGCATAGGAAATGATGTCATTTGAACATTAGCATTGCAAATTTTCTCCGTATCTAGAGTATTTTTGCTTTTATAGAGTACTCTTGGTCTTATGTCTGCTGTTAAATGTTTCTGAGGAAAAGACACATTTCCCTGTGGAAAGCACAGAGCGGGACTGAGGCTCCTTTAGCATGAGACAGGGACTTGGTTACACAACCACTAAGTCCTCACTTTTGATTCAGGGTCAGAAGCCAGATCCAGATTTCGTGCTCAGCCTCCATCTACAGGCAGCTTATTCAGGCAAAGATACTGAATCTCTGTGCTTAGTTTAGAGGTAGGGTTTGACCACCCCTTGGGTCTCTGGAAGGATCCACATGGTCACCAGTGGCTAACACAGCGCAGGAACATAAACCCTAATGTTGAGGTTATGGATGCTCTAATCCCATCTCATCCCAATCTCATGCCCATGTCCAGGGCATGGATTGGAGCTGCTCCCCTGACAGCCCTTCTGCAAGGTGCACTTTGGAAAACGCACTTTTCTGTCTGTGTTCTCTGAATCAGGCTGTGTCCAGAGGCAGCTGGGCTGCAGAGTCAGGCTGAGGATCTGCCTGTTCCAAATCTGTTTCCTAAAGATCCTATTTCAGGTTAGCAGGTGAACTGATGAAGTGCATTAAAGCATAAAACTTTGTGTATCTGGTGCCACAGCACCAACCTGCACAGAGCTCACGGGCAGAACTCCCCTGGGCCTCGCCACTTCTGAAGCTCACACAGTTGTTGCTTCGTTTTGTACTCGCTGCTGTAGGTGCCTTGGAATATTGCAGATCACAGGCTTGAAAAGGGAAAGGTGACTCGATTTCCCTTTGCAGTGGAGACCAGGAGAAACTGGTATTCAGAGCACCAGGAGGACTGAAAATGCCAGTGGAAAGTATTCTGAGCTCATCACACTTACTATTTCACACTATCAAAAGGTAAAAGGAAGAAGTCATTCAAGTGGGCATTGTGGAATCCCACTCGTGGCAGGGCGGAGACCTGAGCCAGTGATAAATGCTAAAGGTCAGAGCAGGCAATCTAATCAGTACAGCATGGTCCTCAGACTTCTTATCACAGCCACATTTAATCTTCTGTTCCTGCTAGAGCCCTTTGAAAGGGAGGGGAAGAGAGTGGAGAGCTGGTGATCTGGTGACTTGGCACACGTTGGTTTTGGGTAACTGTGAGGAGTGGGAAACAGCTGCACTGCTGCATGGAAGGGTGTGGGGAAACAAACACTTGAAATGATTTTAATTATCAGCACTTCCACTTAAGTGAAATTAAGCCAGTTTCTCATTTTTACTAGCATTGAATGTCAACATAATGGGTTAGTGTCACACCTTAAAGGAAAGTCAAATTCAGAGCGGGCTGCTCTTCCCAGAATTGTCCATTAAGCTGGGAATACATGGAATGTTCAGCGATGGTAGCCCAGGCACTGTGTCTTGTAATTAAAATAAGGAGTGAACAAAATTGAAGTGCTGAGTTTGGGTTATGCATTGATGGGTTTTACCCTGGGGGGAATATGCAAGGAAATGGATCCTTTCCAGCAAGGCTTTCCTTCTTGTGTTACACATCTGTACCCTAATGGCTCCACTACTCCCTGCTCTGGAAGGTGTGACACTGCTGGTGACAGGGTGGGGAGGTGGTTTCTGTTTCAGCATGGTTCTTGCCCCAGGAATTGCCTTCTGACTCTTCTCCCATCTCAGTTTCTAGAGGAAAATAATGATACCAAAATCTCTCAGCGCTGCAGAAAATCTTTAATGAGATCCTAGGATCCCTTTGTACCAAAATATTTCTCTTGGGCAACAACGTTAATTTTGTAAATTTTATCATACGCAAAGAAGAATAAAAAATTAGTTTTAAGCTATAAATACATGAAACTGTTGTGGCAGGCAAGGTGAGGAACTCAGACACGAGAAACAACTGGAGAACTCGGACAGTTGAACCTTGTTGGGTGCAGGGAAAGCGTTAAAGGCTTCAGTGTCATTTGTTGTGAACGAGGGATTAATTCATGCAGCCCCTGTCCAGCTGCCAGGCACGTGTGCCTGGGCAACACCATCTCATTTACTGGTGAGGATTCATCCCCAGTTTGGTGAGGAACTCATGCTGGTTCTGTGACTGACCCTCGGTGCTGTCTGTCCTTCAGTGCCTGAGGAGCAGCTGCACAACATCGATGAGTACGACCTCAACGTCGTCCGACTCTGCTTCCAAGCTTTCCTTCCCGACGAGCACGGCAACTACACGATAGCCCTTCCTCCTCTGATTTCCAACCCCATCTATGACAACAGTGAGTACCAGCTCAGCCAAATGTCTTGTCTTTCTTTTCCCTCTTGTTTTTCTCTTTAGCTTGGGATGAGAAGTGCCAGCTCTCTGAGGGCTGTGCCAGTTCTGGGTCGCCTCTGTGGCTTGGGACTGCCAGGTGCATGACTGTCACAGGGCAAGTCACACTGAGCATACATTCAAACATGATCCCAGGGTGAAATGTTGGCCAGCCAGAGTAAGGATTGTCCGTGGCATTCATGGGCTCACACATAGGAGTTTTTCCAGTCCTTGTTCACACACAGCAGCAGTGACTGGGAGGAAAGGCCCCCCATGCCTGACATGCCAAGTGACTAAAATGACAGTAGTGAGATGGATGGCTGCCTCAAGGCTCATCTGTTTTCCAAGGGAGTCCTCTGGAGCCTGTTTGTGCCCTTGAGGAGTCTTACCTTTGCTTTGTGAGGGCTCTGGAATGGGACTTGCAAGAGAGATTTATCCCAGTGGGAAACTGTCTTAAGGCCTTTTGTGTCCCGGTTGGTGGCTGTTTCACTGTGCAGGTGGGGTAATGGAGGAGTCCTTGGTCATGCTCCAGGAGGGTGCAGAAGTACATGACACCTCTTCCTGGCACTGTTTTCCACATTGCACCAAACTGGACATCTGTAAGGCATCAGCAGCTGAGGATTTTAGTTCCCAGTGTGTGCTGGATTCCTCTCTGGGAGCAGAGTAGCAGAAGAGCTCCTAATCCTGGAAAACTTTTCTGCAGCGTTTTTCATTTCTGCCCCATGAGTGTTTCCATGCTAAATATTTGATGTCCTCATTTTAGCAGAAAGTACTGAATAAAATGAGATCTGCATTTCCTGAAGTCGTTAGGATTGTGTTGATGTGGGCACAACCATTGTGAATATGTTGAGTATGAGCTCAGATGGCTCTGATATATTTAGAGTCTCCTCTAGAATGATCTAGAAGGTGGAACGGCGAGCGTTACTGAGAACCCTTGCACTGAAATAATCAGGGCTGAGATGAAAACTGATGTACCAGATTTGCAGCTCTGCCTCAGATGCCATTTAGAAATGTGCCAAATCATGACTGCTCGTCCCGTGGGCTGACGTCAGTCCCGCGGAGCCACCAGAGGCCGGGGCTGAGCGCGGTGGGGGAAGCAGGGGCGGGTGCTGGGGGTGTCTGTGGGCAGCACTGGAGGCACCCAAAACTCTCCCTGTAGCGTAGCAGCCGTGTAAATAAACCCGTGCAGAGCTGTGACCACAAATGGTAAGAAAGGGCCCTGCTCGGTTTCAGATCCCAGTTGCTTTGAGAAGCGCCAGCCTGGTTGGAGCTGCTCTGTCCTGCGGCCAGGCTGTGCCCTCAGGTCACAGCAACTGCAGGCTGGGCAACCCTGGGCTCTGAGGTCTGGGCCTTCACGGATCTGCTCGGATTAGGAGCAAAGAGATACTCTGAAAAACAGCTTGGACGCTTCAAATCCAGTATTTTCCTCACTTTCTCATCCTTCGTAGTCTCCACTTGCTTTGGGTAGTGAGAGACAGAAGAATCACACTGACATTATGCAGGCAACCCCATCAGCAGAGGCTGCAAGTGCCTCAAATTCAGCACCTTCTGTTTCCAGATGCTTCTAAAGTTAACTGGCTCGGAACAGAAATTTCCCAAGTTGTATATCAAAAACTCTGAAGAAGAGTCAGATGAGGCAGCTCAGCATTTCTGAGAAACAGGGTTGGACAGAACATGTTGTCCTGCCCTGGTTGAAAGCAACATGATTTTCAACGAGGAGCTCATTTCTCTAGGGGTTTGTCACCAGGGATGTGGTGTAGGGGAGTAGGAACAGGAATTGGGCAGGAGCTGAGGTGACAGGGATGTGGAACATTTCCCCCTGAGGCAGGTGCTGGGCTCAGCGCTCCTGCTGACAGCACAGCAGTGCATCCACATCTGCTGTGTGTGTTGATTTCCCTTCTGAATTCCTTCTCTAAGGACAAAACAACAGATTCCAGTGAAGGAGACTGTCCCAAAAATCTGTTACAAGGACCTAAAGGGAACTGCAAGAGAGCTGGAGAGGGACTTTTCACAGCAGGGCATGCATGCAGTGACAGGACAGGGGGTGATGCCTTCAAATGGACAGAAGGAATGGTTAGATTGAATATTAGGAAGAAATTCTTCTCTGTGAGGGTGGGGAGGCCCTGGCACAATTTACCCAGAGAGGCTGTGGCTGCTCCATCCCTGGAAGTGTCCAAGGCCAGGTTGGACAGGGCTGGGAGGGGAAGGTGTCCCTGCCCTTGGCAGGGGGGTTGGAAATGGACGATCTTTAAGGTCCCTTCCAAGCCAACCCAGTCTGAGATTCTCTGCTCTTGAGTGCCATTCAAGCACACAGAAGTGAAACATTGGTAAAATTAGGCTTTTCCTCACAATTCTTAATTTACCCTTCCTGTGAAAAGCGCACCATGATGCTGTCGGTCACATGGCCCTGTGCTGTTTCTGGGTTTGTTTGGTTTCCCCTCCCTTGAAGGCTTCTGATTCATTCAGCAAATGAAGTGGTGTGTGTCATTTAGAACATGAGGCTGTAGCTCCCACTTACAATAATGACAGTAATAACTGCAGATAGTAACTACGTAATTGGGGACTGGTGAGAGGTTACCAGGATCTCTGCTCTAGGTGTAGTCTGTGTTGTGCTGTGGCTGTACTTGGGTAGGAATTGATTCCAACTGAGAGTCTAAAGTAGATTGGTTTGGGTTTTTGTTGTTGTTTTTTTTTGTTTCTTTGTTTTCTTTTTGAGTTCAACACCATGAGCTTTGGTTTTTGTATTTTTTCTCTGTGTCTGGAACAGGGAGCCTGTAGTGGTGGAGCCTCATGGAGGCTCAGTTTCGTGGTGTCAAAGCAGCACCACCTGGATCATTCCAGACATTTTAAATGTGTTTGGAGCTGCTGCTCCAGAATGGAGCCAGACACCACCAGGCAGAGCATGGCTCCATCCCATTGGAGTCACCCATAGCCATGAGATTGTTTGGAATGCAATTTGTGCAGCCTTCAGTGGGGGCTAATTCATGGTGAGAGGCAGCTCTCCATCCACAGCTGTTCTGAGGCTGTTCACATAGAGCCTGGAGTCCTCCAAACTCCAGTCCTGTGATTTTAAATTTGAATTTTGGGGTGAAAGCTGCTGCTCTCGGTGAAGGTGTGAAATTATGGTCCTAGAGCTGTTCTTGGACACCTGCAGAGGAAAGGCTGGATGGCCAAGGGTCTCTGTGAATAGAACTACAGCCAGACCCTCAGAGAGGGGACTTCTGCTGACTTGCTAGCCCAGCTCTTTCCAGAGAAGTGTGACTGTATGAGGTAATCAGTCACTCATAGAACTGCTTTGAATTCTGGAGCTTGCAGGACAGCAGGGCTGAGCACAGCCACATCAGTGGGAGCGGTATTTGAGTCTGCTCTACAAAAGTTATGGAGTGGGTGGCACAGCAGTGCTGGTGTCCTGTGTTTGGAGGTAAGCTGTAGCATCATGGAATATCAGACCCTGCTGCTGGATTTCCTGTGTGGAGTGATTTGCTTTGTGCGGATTTCAGGGTGGCACATTTCCCCAGCTGTTGCCTTCCCTTCGTATACCTGAACTCCCAGCACCTCCTATCCAACAGTGACACAGCCACAGTAATTCTATGTCACTAAATTCACCTGTTTGCTTCCAGGAGCTCCCAACACCGCAGAATTGAGAATTTGTCGTGTGAACAAGAACTGTGGAAGCGTCAAAGGAGGAGATGAAATATTTCTGCTGTGCGACAAAGTTCAGAAAGGTAACCTGGACTAGGTTTTTTCTCTCCCTTTTTCCCAAATGGACAAATTCCATGACCATTTTCCTGCTGGGGGGCTGGAACCCTTCACCACACACCTCAGAGTGGTTTGTTTTTGTAGCTGGGTGGAACAGCTTTCAGGTTCATGGGATCTCAGCACCTCTTGTGCCTTTAAAGTTGAGCCATTTACCTTGCATCTGAATTCTGAGTCAGGCTCCTCACTTTGCTCCCCTCTTTCCTGCTGCATGTTTCCAGTTTTCCAGCTTAACAAGCATCTTCTGTTTCTCGTGGCCTAGATGACATAGAAGTCAGGTTTGTCCTGGACAACTGGGAGGCCAAAGGTTCCTTCTCCCAGGCCGACGTTCACCGCCAGGTCGCAATCGTGTTCCGGACGCCGCCGTTCCTCAGGGACATCACCGAGCCCGTCACGGTGAAGATGCAGCTGAGGAGACCCTCTGACCAGGAAGTCAGCGAACCCATGGATTTCAGATACCTGCCAGATGAAAAGGGTATGGTTCCAATGAGATGAGCTGCTGAACAGCTCTTGGCTTAATTAATGAAAAATCTACAGCACTGCTTCAGCACAGTAGAGTTGTGGGTTTTAAAAGTTACAGCAGTCAGTTTATTCCCTCTTTCAGTGGAAATACCAGAATTATTGTTGGGTAACACTGGCGTGGTTTGTTAGTGCTGCCATGCCTGCAGTATTTTCCCTGAAATAATTCCTACTACAACTTGGTGCCACTAGGAAGTTCCTTTAGGCCTTCAATAAAGAGAAGTGCAACACTTTCCCCTTCCACTCCTTTCTCTGTAGATCCATATGGCAACAAAGCAAAAAGGCAGAGATCAACGCTGGCTTGGCAGAAGCTCATACAGGACTGTGGTAAGGAAGATATTTGTCTTTTTCTTCTCGTTTGAATGAACTTACATTTAGATGGAGCTGTTTCCTCTAAATGCTGCACGCTCTCTTTGTGTCCCATCACAGGATCAAACACGATGGAGAGGCCCAAAGTAGCCCCATTCCCTGTTGTCACTCCTGAAGGGAAGCTGATTAAGAAAGGTAGGTTTTTGCCTGCAGTCTGACAGTGGTTTAAACAGATAGTGCCCTCCTCTTTGCTTGAAATTCAAATCTCTTGAGGGTTTCTTCCTGTGAGATAGTGGTACTTCTGACTGTATACAGAGAAAGCTCTCAGTTCTTTATGTCACCCTCAGCATGGGCTGTAGGGGGGTGAGGTAGGCAGCTCTCTTGCTGCTGCCCAGAACTCTGGGGTCCATCCTCGGGAGCGGCAAAGCAAGCAGACAGTGGAAATAACACATGTACAATCTTGTTGTAAGTTGGGAAAAAAACCCTCAAAAGTGACATTCTCTCCACAGAACCAAACATGTTTTCCTCCACGCTGATGATGCCGTCAGGGTTGGGAGCCCTGTCCAACACGAGCCAGCTGTACCCGGGCTGCTCGCACACGCCGGCGCTGGGGCCGGGCAAGCAGGACGTGCTGTCCCCGAGCTGGCTGCACGGCTCCGCGTCCCCGGCCGGGCTGCTCGGCTCCCACCTGCACAGCAGCTTCTCCACGGAGCCCCAGCCCAGCGCCCCGAGCAGCAGCTCCCTCCCGGCCTTCCACGACAGCGCCCTGGCCTGGCCCGATGAGAAGGATTCGGGCTTCTTCCGGACCTACGGCAGCACCAACGGGCTGGGAGCCGTGGTGCTGTCGGCCGCCGAGCTGCAGAGCCTCCCCGGCGGCTCCGGCGTGCTCGGCATGGACACGGACGACGTGAACTGCAGCAGCATCAGCCTGGAGAAGTTCAGCGCCGTGCTGGGCAGCCACCGGCAGCAGCTGCAGCTGCCCACGGCCAACGCGGGCAGCGGAGCCGCCGCCTTCGCCTCGCAGCCCGGCCTGGCCGACCCCGGCTACGGCTTCATGGAGCAGGAGGTGCTGAGCGAAGCCAGACTGTCCAGCGGCCACCAGGGCAGCCTGGCAGACGGCCAGTTCTACGACACCGACGGTGTCCACACTGACGAGCTCTATCAGTCCTTCCCCTTCGATAACATTTTACAGAGCTATAACCCGTGAGCCGGCGGCGCTGGGTACGTAGAGCTCCCCGGGCGCTGCTGCGTGGAGAGGAGTAATTTACCCTTCTGGAGTCCCTGCTTTCTCTTTCAGAATGTTGCTGTGCGAGTTCCGTGACATAACTTAAAATGTTATTTATTGCAGCCCATAGTGGTGCCCGTAAAGTGGGAGGTGGGAGTGGGGTTTGGGGTTTCTGTACCTTAAAAGTACCTTGAAGACGTATTTTTGCGCTGTTGGAAGTGGGAACTGTTAACACTTAAAGCTTCCTTACCTTTGGGGACTGTAAAAGCTGGCATCTTCAGAAGGGTTAAAATTTCAAATACTTCACAGGGTTAAAGTTGTTTTGAAATAGGCATTTTTGCTATAGAAATTAAATTGAAATTTTGATAGGACAGAAATTAGGAAACAAAACTGGCACGTGAGCACTCGAGTTCAGTCTCATCTAATGAATGACGTCTGAGTTCTGCTCAACTTACTTGAAAGGTTTAGGTTTTTAACCCCCTTTCCATAAATATTCTTCTCCTAAAATGAGAACATGTATTGATTTTCCACACTGTCACCACACTCCATTTGCTTTGAAGGCAAATTTACTCGTAAATTTTTTTTAATGACTATGTCATTGTTAGATATATTTAAAAAGACCGGAAGGTTTGAGTTTTTAAATAGTCCAGCTCTGTTGTAAAGGAAATCACTGCACAAGAGAAGGAACAGAAAGTGAGGACTTGTCTGCACTTCATCCAGAGTGCACTATTTTACAAGCCATGCCCCTGTTGCTTTAGGAGTGAAGCTGTTATTGCTCTGCAAGTTGTGTGTGTGTGTGTGTGTGTGTGTGTGTGTGTAGCTGCGATGCGAGTGAGATTTGGAAAGGCAGAAATCTCTGGAGCCGAAGTATCCGCTTACTCTTTCCTCAGGTATCCCGGCAGTTTCCTGCTATGCAAGTGACTGCTTCAAAGGTGGCTCACATCTTGCCTCCCTCCCCAGCACCACCCCCTCCCAGGAGAGCAAAGCCAGGGGCTGCCTTGGTGCAGCCTCACCTCTGTTAACAACTTTTAAAGCCATTTCAGTCAGTAGTAATTAAAAACACTCCTCTGTCCTCTGTATCAGGAACCAGAACTTCCCTCCCACTTGATTCCCAGTCTTCGCTCTTAGCCCGAGCAGGAGCTGTTCCTGACACCTCCAGCTGGAGGTAACTGGCTGGGTAAGACACTCTGGCCTTGGCTACTTTTTTATACTGTTACTTTTTAAGAAGCAACACAGAGAAATGTCTGAGTATTTCTTAAGTGCCACAGCTGCTCTTTAGGGCAGATAAAGCTCAAAGGTCTCCGTTGCACAAATTGCACAATCAGAGCAGCGACAAAAAAAGCAATAAAACGTCCTAAACCCACCCTCCCAAATCACAAAAGCCATTTGAGATGTAGAGTTGTACACAAGGAAAGGTGCTCCAGAACCCCTCTGTGCCTTACAGGAAAGCAGGGATGCCTTCCCTGCAGGAATCCATTGCATTGGGAGCACTCCGGTGCTACTGCTGGAATTCCATCACACCGGCCTGACACTCAGGGGAGCTCCTGAAACTGCTTCCCCTAACTCAGGTGCACAACAAAACTAATTGACTCCCCCTGTTTTAAAGCAGTTTTTACTACCTTCTGCACCTCTCCTCCACACTCTCAAGCAATAGAAAGACCAAAAAAAATATGCAGGAAGTTTGAAACGTGTTGTTTATTCTGTTCTTTTTTTTTTTTTTTGAAGTTCTCAGTTTTAGTTATATTAAATGTAAACATTTTACTCACTTCATAGAAAGCTCTTTATAGTACAATTTGTTTTTACTGTATAATTAAATATTTTCAAAGTTCTGTTTTCCTTTGTAAACGAGTTGGTTTGGTAATTAAAAAAAAACTGGTTATACCAAGAGCTCAGCTTCTGCAACCTCCTCGGCTTCATGACCTCCCTCACCACGGGAAAGGCAGGGAAAAGGGACAAGGTAGGTTATTGGTTGCTTATCCTGGGGTTTTCTGGGGTATTTTCTGTTCCCTGTTGCTGGTGGCCACTGTAAAACCTCAAGGCAAGTGAGGGCTCACCTTCCTCAGCAGGTTTTGTGGCAGAGCTGTTGGGTTTTGAGGCAGAGGGGCCAAGGGCACAGATGCTTTTGGCTGAGCTGCATTGCTGGTACAGCTTTCTCCAGGCCCAGCTGAGCTGATGCAAAACCAAAATGCAGGGGAAGGCATTAGAGGAAATACAAGATGAAATTTGGCTCTCACAAAACACCCACTTTGAGCACTCACAAAAATACTCCTGAAAATCAGGTGAAGGCCCAAGTACAACATGAATACTATTGCTGCAATGTTCAGTACATGATGGTCCCGAAACTGGACTGGAAACAGAGTTCAGAGCTCCAGATTACATTTCTCAGTTTCATATTTGCACATGGTTGGTGCCCAGGAACTGCCTCAAGAGCTCAGGGATATTTGCATATCAGCCTCCCTCCCCCCCATTCAGATACTTCAGATTTACCATAAAAATAAACAGGGAATTTTGGGAGAAAAAAACCTGGGAGAAAAATTTTGGGAGGAAAACCTGGGAAAACTTTGGAATTTTTCTCTCTGCCTTGCCCAGAGACGAGCTCAGACTCAGCACACCGAGGGTCACCTTTATGGCCTTGTTTATCCTGGATTCTGCCTGGGATCCCCACGTGCAGCAGGAGCTGCAGAGGGAGGAGCCTTGTGTGTCCTTGGCACTACTGCAGCAGCTCTTTCCCTCTCCCCCTTTTGGCTCCATTTCCCCTTGGAACAGCTCTTCCCATGCCTGTTGTGTCCAGAAAGCACACTCTTGTTGACATTTTTTTTCCTCTTGTAGCTTATGGAATTTATAAATCACATTTCAGTTCAATGTGCGTTTTAAGAAATCACTCAGATAGGAAATTCTATTTTGTTTCTGAATTCAGTTTCTCTGGTTTTCCATCATTAATGACATTTCCTTCCTAGCTGCAGATTATTATCTGAGGACTGCTCATGGTATCTGTTGCTCATAAGAGCTTTAATATTAAAACCAAAAATAATATTGCTGTCTGAATCAAATTTTTGTGTTAGAAAGTCAGAAGCTTCTGAATTACTTAAATTACAGACACAAGTTTTGACAGCCCAGCACAGGCAGAGCCTTAAAGGAGTTCCTTACAAATGTATTTTTTAACACTTTTAGAGCCTCCAGCTCAGACTGTCATGGAGCTTTACTAGAATCACTGAATTCAAGGGAAGACATCCCAGTCATCCTCCCTGTCCCCAGACAGTGGCTTGTCTTGGCAAATGTTACCCTCTTTATTCCCAAAATGGTAACAAAGAGCTCTGAAATTCCAAACCTTAATTTCTTGTTGATAGTTTAAACACTCTTCTGTACTTCAGGGAAGCACCTCCCTCATGGATTAACGTGACACAGGTATAAAAGATTACTTCCTAAAGATGTAGGTGGTGCTTAGTAAGAAATATTTTAAATAACCAAAGAAAACCTCAGATCTTCCCCCTTCCAGGCAAGTTCCTAGGCTGTGTTCAACTCTTCCAGGCATCCATCCAAGGTGAGGTACAAGAAAAAATGTATTATGCTGCTAAATCACAGCTTTTTATCTCTCTCTCAATACCAGCATCCTGTGGTACCTTTTGTTTTTGCCTGCACTTTCTTGGTATTCCTGTTTTTCTTTAGATTCCCATCATGCACCACTGCCAGAAGTTCCCAATCTTTTTATATATTGTGACTCACTGGGGAATTCCTACTCCTCAAGAGGGCTGATGAGGCCTCACCTCTTGTTTCTAGGAAGCATCCCCAATGTTTTTAAATGAGAAAAACTTGGTTTTAAGCACAAAGTTTTTCTCTGAAAACTATTTTTTCCCTTTGAAATGCACTCGGAGAGACAAATTTGCTCATCTCTACTGCCACTGACCAAAAAGCAGCCAGGGAAACTTGCTGCAGGCACTGTCCTGCTGTCTGCAGCCTCCCTGGCTTGTGGGGTTTCCTGCATGAACTGCTCAGAAAAAGCTGGGAGTGGGTTTCAGATAACTCAGTGTTACCTGCATCCACACAAGGAAAGCTGTAGTATCCAATACAAAAAAAGTTGAAAATAAAGTCTGGCTTGATGGGGGGAGGTTATAAACATTGGCTCCCCAAAATCTTTTTATGTACAGAAGAAATAAAAGTAAGGCTAGAGATTGAACCAACACTGCCTGGTCCAGAGTGTGTAAAGGAGAGCTCCAGGGTATCCTTTGGCAGATCAACGTGATCCAAGCGTTCCAGGGACACCCTTGGCACCCAGGCTGTAACACTGCACAGTGTCTGGTCACCAGCTGCTGCCAAGGAGCTGCTGCTTCCTCATCCCAGCTCCAGGAGTTAATCAGCCAGGGTTGGAGGCCAGTCAACATCAACAGACTAGAAAAGCAGAAGGGGGAAAAAAAGGCAGCAGAGTTGGTATTTCACAGATACCTAAAGAATCACAACTCCTTTTGCTACTACTTGGCAGCATCACCCTCTGTTGGGCTGCATTTACAAAGAAGTAAGTAGGAAAAACTTATTTTACAAAGGAGCAGTAGGAAATGGATCCCACGGTAAGGAATGTTGATCCACTTAGAGCAAGTCCATGGAAAGCATCTCACCAGGGCAGCTCCCTTAGTAATTTCCAGGAAAGACAAACAGCAACCAACTTACTTCTACATCCAGCTCCAGAATGTCAGCAGTTCTGTTCAGAAGGGCCCCAATGTTGGGCTTTGTTCTCCCAAAGTCTCCATGCACGAACTCTTTAATGTAGCTGGAAAACACCGGCTAAGGAGAAGTGGATTTCACAGGAAAGAAATCAAAAAGGGGGGAAAAAAAGTGGTTTCTTCTAAGTAATTTCTTATTATTGTATTAAGCCCATGCCTATCTTTAGGAGAGCTCCTAATTCCTTCTGGTTCTGGTGTCATAACTGCTCTGCTGACCTTTATTTTGTTTCATTCCAAACTGAGTAGTGACTTTAGAACAAATCCATAACTTGTACATAGCAGCCATCTCCAGTCTGCACTGAAGTGCATTAAATATTGTGGAAAAGGTCATTTTTGGAGGTGAAAAGTTTTCAGTTAAATTAGAAAAAGCTGAAGTGTATTTTAACCAGCACATTTTTATATCTGCCACATAGTTAATGAAAATTCCAATGTGAAATTGTGACCTAAAAGCAAATACTGTGCAGCGACGCCACTGCGGGAGAGCAGGGATTTCAAAACACCGCAACCACCGAGCAGGAAACTTCCCATTATCCCAGTCACTCCCACCAGGAGGCTGCTTGGCAGCTGCCTGGTGTCAGGGCACCCAAGGATACGTTCCTGCCTGAGTCTTGAGGTGCAGGCGGAAGTGGTGCTCGTCGATGTACTCGGATTTCATGGTGTGGATGAGCCGGCAGCGCACGGCCAGCGGCCGCCGGTGCAGCACCCGCAGAGGGGTTTTCTGGTCCAGCTTCAACTCCTGGTACAAGAAGTGAACAAAAACGTGAGGAAGGAAATGTGCAAAAAGGGTCCATAGGTTGTGGGAATCGTGTGTGGTGTTAACCAGTCCCGTCTTTTTTATCTTGTGCTCTGGTAGTTGAGTAATCTCAAGGCAAGACCGGTTTTTTTCCAAGTTTATCAAAGGAAAAAGAAGAGCCCTCTCAGAGGCCAAAGGAGGCCTCACATGAACACAAACTAATGGAATCACAAATACAGAGGAATAACCTTGAAATCTCCATAGCCCTTTGCTGGAAAGACTCCAGGATTTAGCAGCTCACTCAGAGCCTCGGGGCAATCAGAAAAGAAAATAAATCCCACCCACAAAATGCTCTGTCTAAACTACAGCCAACCCCCTAGAAATAAAAGTGAGGGGGAGAAAACCTTAAATGAGATTAGATCTCAGAACAGTCTTTTCAAAAGTTCATTCCCAACTCCCTTTCCCAAAGGAGAGGAAGAAGTTTGAAAGGCAGCTAAGGGAAGCTAAAGGAAGAACTTCCCAACAATTGTCTCCCTGAGCTGTAATGGCTTTGAGAATGAGCTGAAGTGGTGCAACACACCAAAAACTGAACCCACTTCTCCATCAGCCCATCTCCGTCTGGATAAAGTTCTCATTCCTGCACATGCTGATCCTTCCTGAGGCTTCTGTGCACTCTGACATAGACATTTCCACCTCCAAATTGCTGCAGCCGTGGGAGAACAGTTTTAGAACAGAGCAAAAGAGCTTTTCTGCTCCTTTCACTTACACATGATGCTATCTAAGGTAAAAAAGGGTGCCAGATTTCCTCCTCTCCCAGGTTCTGTTCTCCTGGAAGGTGAACATTACACAAGGATTTGTTGTCTCTGCTAAAATCCAACCCCTCCTGTCCTGCTGGAGTGACTGGTGAAGGAAGGAAGGGTAGTATGAAAGTCCCTATAGCAAGAGAAACCCTGATTAAAAAAACCAACCAAACAAAATCCAAGCACAGAGCAAGAGACAGGCCCATGGATGTGTTTAACTATTAACTGTGTTTAACTATTCCCGAGGGTACCAGGACAGCTGCTATTTAAATGACCAACAAGAGCTCCTGCTACCTTGATATCATCTAGAAACGCAATGTCTTCTCTCTGTATTGCTTTGTCTGTCCAGATCAAGGCACTGTAGGTCTTTGTCTTCTCCTCCTCACCTTCCTTCATGCGACCAATTGCCTCTCTAAACAAAAGGAATTAATTACTCACTTAACATAAGCACAACTACACAAGGCTGTGAGCGAGAACACTTCTCAGCTCCCCGAGTGTCCCTTTGAAATCCCTCACCGGCGACAATAAACACTGACCTGGTGACAAGCTGTAAATCTCGAACCCGTATTTTGTCTGAAGAGTCATTAATTGCCTGTGATATTTAAAAAAGGAATCAGTTAGCAAGGCTGCTGGGCTGGAGAGGCAGCACGTGCTTGACGAGTTCAGTGAGGTGTCCGTGATTTACCTGCTGCAGCCTCTTCATCTCCTCCACGGTGAAATGAATCCTGCGAGGATTCACCAGCTCGATCGCAAAGGGCCTTCCTGGCACCAGGCACGGGCATAAAACATAAAAACACGTTGTTCTAAATTAATGCTGCATTTACACAGGAAGGCTGGAAGGTGTGAAGACTGTCTGCTGTTACACAAACAGGGAGAGGACTGGCGGGCTGAGGGATGGAGCATCAGATGCAAGGGAAGAAACAAGGGACTTTTTTTTTTGGCTACTAAACCCCAGTATCAGGAGTAAGTGCAAATTATGACTTCCCAGAAGACATCTTGTACAAGTCTGTGCTAATTAAAAAATAAAATAAGAAAAAAAGCTAATTAGCTTATTTTCTGTCACCTACAGCAATGCCCAGGTGCACGGCAATGTTAAATCCCACTCCCTCAGCTCAACATCTGTTGCCAGAGTTGTAACTCTGTGCTCAGGGCCAGGACAATCCCCAGCACAAGCCATGCCAAGAATCACACTACAAATCAGACAGCTACTGAAATACAGAATTGTTCATTTTTACTTTTTCTTTCCCTCCTCCCTTGGCCACAGCAGCTTCAGCAGGTTGGAAAGAGCTGACCTTTGTAAGGGACTCAAGTTCAAACAGAAAACAAGGCTCCCCCACTCCACAGTCACAGCGGGGGAATTAGAAAGATCCAGCAGAAAACAAGACAGGAATAATTCTGACATAAATGACTTAAAAGTAGGGAGTGAATAAAATAAAATACTTTCAACTAACTGTGCCCTTCCATGCAGCCAAGGCCACTGAAAAAGGGCTCCTGTTTCAAGCTGGTTTTATGAAGCTGTTTGGTCTTTGGGAATAAATATCTAAATTTCACTAAAATGCTTCAGAGATAAAATTCCAAAGCATGCCTAGTCACACGCTTGGCATTCAGCAGGATCAGCGAGAGGGGCTCCATGCACCCATTTCATCTCTGTGTTTCACAAGGGGTGTTCCAAGCCTTACCATTGCCTAGTGTCCTTACATCCACATCTTCTCTTCCAGAGGAACTGAAATTAAAGCCTGTAACAGATTTGAACAAGGAAGGTGAGCTTTTATTTTACATTTGTAATAATCTTTACAACTTTTAAAAGGTGAAATATTTTCTTTCTAAACTTGTTTGCAAAAGCTACTTCAAATCTATTTTATAAACTGGAGCCTGCACTTCACAAACCATGGGAATTCCTATTTATTCCTAAGTTTCTTGAAGAGTACTCCCAATTCCTTGGTCTGAGTGAGATTGCTACAACCAGACTAGCATATCCACTGGGAGGAGAAGAGGGGGTAGTAGCAGGGGTTTTTCCAAACTAATATTTAATGCAATTTTTCCTTGGGCCTTCTATGTGTCTAATTCCACATCTCTTAGATGACAAATGATGGGCAGTGATAATTTCATCTGGATAATCCCTGAAGAAGCATTTAGCTTGTGGAACTTAATGCACTGAGGAAAATAATGAATGGAGGTAAAAAACATGAGGGGGTCAAAAGCCAGGCAGATCCTATGAAATACCTTCAAAAACCTTCTTGGTACAAGTCATTTTATGAATTACCAACTGTTAAGAAGTTTGGTTAAGCAAAAACACTACCACATGAAACCAACGTATTTGCATCATCAGATCCACTGAGGAGCTACTTTAGCAGGATAAAAGGATCTAATTACTTCCAGATCACAGCTAAATAAAATTTACAAGCTTTGACTTGGAAGGAAACAAGAGGGATAGAGAAACATAATTTTTTCCCATTATACTCCCATAGTAAGTGGGTAGCTATCAAGAAAAAAAATCTTCGAATAATGATGAGAACTATGTGTGGTAGCAGATCTCCTAAATACTTACTGTCTGCCTTGAATTCTGCCATTAGATGCTCTGAAATTAATTCTTCCACTGAAGATTCCAGCTTCCTCTCCCCATCAATAATCCAGGGAGTCTGAGGTAAATTCCTGGAATATTTGTTGTATCTTCCTGTAAGAGACAACCACTGTACTTCTAATCATTCTACAACCGTGAGCAAAAGCTGCAGCCTTGCACAGCACATTTAACTTCCATGGGAAAATAAAATGACAGGCTTGAGCTTGTTTAATGGCAGGAGCATTACACCAGCCCCGTGGAACACACGTGGCTGTGTCCAGGAGAGAGTCAGTAGCCAGGATGGCCTCTTAGGCTAGCCTTGGAGAGCCTGTGGCTGCAGTCCTGCCTCCAGGAATAACCCTCCTGTGTGAAATAATCCAGCTTCCAAGGCAGTTCTGCCATTGCCTGAAGGCTTAGGAAAAGGAAGCCAAACTAAAACACTTTGGCTCACCACGAGGAACGCCATGCAAGGAGCAGAAATTCCTCATAATAAATTAGGAGGAATGGCAGGAATCTTGAGAGGGTGCCACATAAAGAGATTGGCATCTTTGGATGGTCCTAGTGATGCTTTCCTGGCACCTCCTTTACAGGCCACAGCTAAAGAACAAGCCTGACATGGACAAGCAGTATGAGCTTCTTTATGGACAGGTTTGATAAGAAGTGAAAATATTCCCAAAGCAAGGAAATAATTCCTAAAGGCCAAAGAGCAACCCCCTGCTAAAACTGCTTTCAACCTGAAACCTTGCAAATATAAAATAAAGTTCAGAGTAGCTGTGTGCATTACTTTGGGCCTCTGACATCTCAGGGGTTTGGGGTTTCTATCATATTTTCCTATCTCAAACAATGTTTCCTTTTTGCAGTCTGAGCAGCAGAAAAAGCCACACAAACAAATGGGGAAACTGAGTAACACAGTTTCACTGGGGCAAATAATGAAAGTAGGATGACTCATCATTCAGATACAGCCTCACACTGCTAAATTCTCTTTTCATAAAATGGAAAAAGGAGAACAAGGTTTGCTTTCTTTTTTTTTTTCTCTCTCAGCTCCCCATTTTAATAATTTTAACTTTTGATCTGAACAAGAGTAGGTTTTAAAAAACAGAAGGTGTTTCTTGGTTTGACAGCCCCTGAATCCTTAAAAAAGGTTGGGGTGGGAAGTGGTCGCTAAACACCGAAGGTGAGGTCAAAAGGACAATGTTGTGCTTACAAATTAAGATCCCATCTCATTAATTAAAAGCAAAATATCTGCACTGTACTCAAATTCTACTCTGGATTTAGTTCTTGAAAAATTAAATACCTGCCTGGACTGTTTTTATGTTGGAGCAAGATATAAACTACAAATGACAAGACCAGTATTAAATGACAGGCAGAAAGCAAACCCTCTGTTTTGCTCTTCATACTGTTGAATTCTGATAAAACTATCCAATAAAGCAACTTAAAATAATACAGTGTGTTTGGAGAAGTATAGAAGGAGCTGGGTATCTTGGATTCACAAAAATGTACATCTAACTGTCTAATCAGTAATTAAAAATAAGGAATGGTTATATGAAGAACATCGATTACCCTGCCATTCACTTCTGCACTTTTTCATTTTCCATTTCTTTATATTCAGGATTTTTATCATCACAGTATGCTGGATTTAAATTACAGGTTGGGTTCTTTTGAACAATCATCAGTTTGCATGTATTTAAATAAGCTGTTCATATAAAGGACTAGAAGAATGGCAGATACTCTGGCAGGCAGAGGATAAAAAAGTTAAATCATCTCAACTCAAGGACACCCAAGTGTTGCTGCACTACCTGTCCCACCCAAACCTTTATAAATCCCATGAGGATTTGCAGTTTTGGATGGGATAATATGCAGAGAAATCCAGATGGTGAAAACCTCTGAATCCAAATCAAAACCCAAGGAAGTGAACAGCACTGCTGGGAGCTTGCTGGTGTGGAGGTGCCTTTCCCAAACCATTATTTTGAGGGGATTTGTAATTTCTAACTTTTGACAAAATAATATCTTCAGCAAAGTTCAAATATAATTTCTTCCCCTTTCAAACCACTCTTGGATAGAGCTGGATTTGATTCTTTGCTCCTTACACTTCATTACAGGAATTAACAAACAGCAAGAATCCTCTGGGTCTCAGGGCAGTGTTACAAAGTTCTCTTCAAGACAACACATCAGCAGAGAAATGGATCACTTTACCAGCCACAAAAACTGCACCATTATTGCACTGAATTTCCAGAGCATCACAGAGGTTCTTTGGTGAACTTGGGGGACACGGAAAATGCCTGTATTAAAAGTAAAAACAGAGTAAAACATATTATCACTACCAGAACATGATGGAGCATCACCAGAGCAGTAAAAAGTGCCTACCTTTGGCTTCCCACTGTGTGTGATTTTTACCATACTAACAGTACTAACAGTGTTTTCTTAAAACTTTTGGAAATATGAGAATATTTCTTGTAAAGGGAAGATTGCCGTACAAACTCTAAAGCTCAAAATAATCCTTTCAATTAAAAGATCAGGAGTGATTTTCTATTGCCAGAAAAAAAACACGTTTTAAACAGTAAAGCAACAGAATTTAAACAATCTGAAGTTCTTTTAAAGCCATCCTACCACTACATACCCGCTGAATATTTTCCTCCCTTCCCCAATTCTATACAAAAGCACAATACTAAGAAATAGTTTTGGTATATACTTACTTGAGAAAATCCTCTTCTTTTATCTTCTCCAGGGCTTTTATAACTGCCATTCTGGTGAAAACAGACTGCACAGTGAAATAAAAAAATGAGTCAAGAACTAAGAAAAGCAAAGAAAGGATATGCCTGAGGAAGAAAAAAAGCACTGAAACTTACACTGTGCAGTTCCGTCACTGCTCACTTGGGAGCCCAGATCCAAATTTGCAAAACAGTTTAAAACCAGAATCCTAAATCCATGAACAGAAACCTAAACCAGCTTCATTTTCAGGAGTTAAATATACCTAAGCTCAGCTTTTATGTCAGTGATTGCAGGCAGGTAGTTCTGCTGAAAACAAGCCTGTTGAGTAGGAATCTCAAGTTTCTGAAGTTCAAAAGTTGATTGATTTTCAGAACTAATGGCTCTGAACGGTGGGGCTGGGCAGTTCCTCCTGAGGAAAAGAAGCAGCTTCCCACTCCCAAGCTGCAGCCAAAGCTGCAATGCCAGCACCAGGAGCAAAGTGCCGAGCTCTGTGCACAGCCAGCTGCTGCTGGGATAACTCCAGTGAGAATTTACCTTCCTGGGACAGGAGGAACAAGTCTTGTAACAGCTGAGGTGAAATCCTGCTCTAGGAAAGCTGAGGACAGGAGAAGGTCTCTAAATGAACCTTCTAATCAAGCATGGTCAGGTCTTGAAATCCACCTGGGATGGAGCCTGCTCCACTGTCAGTTTCCTCAAGGTAAAATGTTTTTTCTTGCATCTCCTCTGAACTCATTTCAGTGTATTCCTGCTGTGTCTCGTCCTTCCACCACACTCTGTGCAGAACAGCCTGGCTCCCTGCTCTCAATAATCTCTTTTGGCACTAGGAGGAGATTCAGCTGGATCCTCCCCAAAGCCTTCACCAAGAACCTTGAAGAAGTTCCTCAGCCTCCCCCAGCAGGCATGTGCTCCAGCCTTGGGACTGCCCTGACGGCTGTCTGCTGAATTTCCAATTTAATGGTGTCTTTATTGCAAACTGGAGATTTGGGGAAAAAAAATAAAAAATACTGTGTCACTCTTTGGGACAATTCAAGTCTTGGCTCTATAGAGTTCCTGGGTGTCTTCAGGAAAGCTGCTCTTTCTCCTTCTAGGCATAAATTGGAGATAACAGCACTTCCCTTCCTGATAGAAGGATGATGAGCAGGAAAGCCCTGAAAGCAGCAGCAGGTTAAAATAACCATCTACACAGACAGCACAGAAATTTTCCCTCAGAAGCCAGTTTTTACACCACTTCTCTGATTAACACAGCCCTTGAAGCCCAGCTTCTTTGTGAGGACAAACCTCTGACAGCTCTTCAGAGCTGTTATTTTTCTTTAGATTCCCCTACATTTTGTTGCCTGTGTGGATTTAACAGCCAGGCCCTGCTGGTTTAGCTCCTTATGTGGGATTTCCCCCCTTTTAAAGGACAGCAATGCAGCAAGCAGTGAGCTGTAACAATACAACCCTGCTAAAAAAAGAGCAGCGTTTATTGGTCAGGTGGAGCAGAGTCAGCAGAATTCCTAGGCCAGATTCTGCCTCTGCCAGATGTTGGCAGACTCTTCACCAGAAAGAATAAAAGGCCTTGCAATGGCTTCTGACAGGAGTTACTTGTTCTCCCTCTGATCACATCCACTGTCCCACTTGTATCAGTTTCCCTCCGACTGGTTTTTTATCCTCGCGTGTCCCCTTTTCCGTCAATGGTTGCGTGCGTGCTCAGGGTCTGCAACAAGTGGCAAGGTCCCTTTTCTCTCCCCCCTCCTCCAGAGGCAGAAAGGATAAAACCATCCTGCATGTATCCTGGCTTTCATTCAGATCAGAGCACATGAAAACTGCAGTGTGATCATTTCCCTTTTGGCTGCCGAGTCTCATCTTCACAATGTGACTTATCTGAACTGCTTCACCCACAGAGAGCTCGAGGATCATCTTTTATGCTACTTTTGATGCATGACAATCAAATTCCTACATCTTAAGGGAGGTATTTACAGAGCACCTTCCTAAAATTATGGCCTTTAGACAGCCTGGAAAATGAATGACCTAAAGAAAAGCACCAAGCTCTTGGTTCTCCTAAGCTGCGAATTGTGAAGTGAATAAAGGAGACAACTTTATTTTCAGGCAGTTGAAAACTAGAGAGCTTTTTGATGAAGGAAAAGCAGACATTGAGCACTGACTGAATACCCAGGCAAATTGTAGCTACTGCTGTGAAATTCTGAATGTCAGAGCAGAAATACAATGATGAGATCTTACCTGTTTGTTCTTTGCTGGCTTGAAACAGTCTGGGCAGGCAGTGGCTCTAAACACAGAAATGAAAATTAGCTGCTCCTCTTACAGAGAAAGAAATAAACAGATACACTCACAAGCATAGCATGTAAATGGTTTTTGTACCCATACATCCAGTGTCTCACTTCCACAGCTTAGCTCAGAGCAGATCTTCAAACTCCCTTTATCCTAAGCCACGAACGGTGCAAGATGTGCATTGCTTGATCCAGAGAAATCATGGACAAAGCTCTGCTCTTCTGCTCTGACCAACACTGTGTCTCAGGTTTGAGATGGGATGGAAAAGCAGACCAGTTTATCTTTTAGTCCTTCCCAATCCTTCTCAATAAAGGTCATGATTAATAATTTAAGTTCTAGGCAAGATTTGCTGACACCTTGAAATCTGTACTTGCCGCTCTTAGACAATGCTCACTACAAACCTGAGATTCAAACTGTCCCTTCTGGAGAGGAAAATTCAATTTCCCACTGAAGAAGTAACTCCAGGTGTTCACCACCAGTTGTGCTTTGCCTGTTCGAAAGGAAACTATTGGCTTTTCACAAAAGTGAAAGCCAAGTCACTGAAACACTTTTTCTGAGTAGTGTAGAGGAAGTTGCTGTTCCTATTAGTGCATTTCTGTGTATGCAGTCAGAGATGATTTCTGGATTTCTGTGTCTGCAGTCAGAGGTATTTCTGACTTCCAACTCAAATTTCTTGTGGGTGTTTTTCAACACCTCTATAACTCCTTCAGACTAAGGGAGCAGGTTTTGCTGTTTCTACACAAACAACTTCCCTGGCCAGTCTGTGACCCAGAGCAATGCAAACTCCCTCTTCCAAAAATTTCAGTATCACCTTACCTTTAAATATGAATTGACAAGAGCCAATTCAACCTTCCATGTCAAACCATGGGTCATTTCAGCACCCCCACCTCCACACAACTGTGTAAGAACAGGTGAGAAACAGCAGGTGCCATGCTTGGAAATCCAATCCAAAAGCACACCTGGAGTTCTCCAGGTTGAGACAAAGTCCTGCTTTGCTTCCACGGAAACGATGACTGTCACTAGTACTGTGATAATTCCCAAATTTTACCATATTTTCATGAAAACCAAAGCACTGCCCAGAGCCAGCCACTCACACAAGCAGAATGCCTTGGCACCTGAGGAACTACTCTGTAATTAAATTAGGCAATGTGCTGTTACTCCAGAAAGTGTCTCCAACCTTAATTGCTGCTTAAGTGTGCTACAAAGAGAAGGCAAATAAAGGGAAATTGTCAGGTCACATGGAATAAACCAGAGTAATTGGAATGTGGAATGGAACTTCTTTACAGCTTTCGCCTCTACAACTGCTCTGCTTGGAGCACTAACACTGGTACCATAACTGGTTCAACAGCAATATTCCTGAAATGCCAGAAAAAGCATGGAAGGATGAGCACAAAATACCAGTGAAGAGGTTTCAGAGGAAGGAAGCAAAATGAAATAAATTAGAACAAAAGGGTGCAGGATGCAGAAACACTTCAGTTCTCTACAGGATTGTGGGAACCATTATTTAGAACTGTAGCTTGGCCCTACAACTTTCTCCGTCTTTTGCCCAGTCTTGAAGAAGCTGGAAAGGAAAGATGTTCAGGAAATTTTGGTAATAATTGTTCCTAATACTGGTTCCTTCCTAAATTTCCATCCCCTTATCCCCTACCTCAAGACAAACAAAAGATGCAGTTGTGGAAAACCAAGAAGGATTCAGCACTTAAAGATCTGGCTTAAATTGCCAGAAGAGAAATCAGGAAATAAATAAAGGCTGCAAGAGAAATCTCTAGTCTCAAGAAATGAATTCATGTTTCAACAGACGTATCTCTGCTCAGCCTCCTTCTATGCTAAGACTTAATTTGCAGTAGGTGCAAATTAACTGAGTGAAACTTTAGGTTTTCCAGGAAGCATCAACAAACAGGAAGAGTGACCCTAATTTTCCAGAATATACTACAGCTAGAATTTGAGAAATCAGATTAAATGGCAGCTAAATTCACAGAACTACTTTGCTTCTCTGTGTACAGCAGGTGCCCTGCTGGGCCAGGCCGGAGGCTGTGTGTAGTGAGGGAATTTCTGTTTGTTTTCATCAACCAGCTACATTGGATTAACTCGCTTCAAAACCTTTCCTCCATGTGCCCTATAGAAGCAGGAAAAACTTAGGTATGATCTCAAAAGATTCCCCCACCTGCAATTACATGGTCCAAATTTTTAAAAATGATACAGGGAATGTTTTTGAGGAGGGCTGAAATTGAAGAACTTATCTGAATGCTCTCCTTCCAGTTCAAATCAGAATTTTGGATGGTTTTTTTTTATTGGCATCAAAGAGCAGAATTAACCAGAGATGGTGTAACTTCAAGCTCTGCAACTTCGTGTGGATATGAAGAAACCTAGATGCAGACCACATTCTAGTTTATAAATACTGCATATTGTGCTCTGTAACAAATCCAAACCAACAATGTTGCACAACATTTAGATAAAGATCTTTTGTTACTTGTAGAAAAACTTACAGGAAATGGCACTCCTCCTCTGTTTCTGGGTGAGCAAAGACCACGCTAACTTCAAACAGACTCTAAATTAAAAAAACAGAAAAAAGAACAAGGAGGTGGTAATAATTTTTTAAACAAACAGGGAGGACATTCTCAAGCACCTATACTGTAGTTTTAGGAAAACAGTAGAGACAAAGGAGAGAGTAACCCATTTATTTATGATTAAAGACATTAAAAGCTGTGCCAGAGCAGCATTTGCCTTTCTGAAGTCACCAAAGATGACGTGAGAGCACCTCAGAGCCGTGAGTGACCTGCCCCGGTTCCATCCTGTGCAGGGCTGAGCAGAGGCAGCCAAGGCTCAAAGCCTATTACGGTCACTAAACCCCAGAGCCCTCCCGGGAGTGCAATCAAGATAAAATGCAAACGTAGTCACCACTGTAAAATTTTGTAAATTTTGTCAGGGGCTTTCTTTGCAATGCCTGCATGGCCTTGGGGCAAAGCAAGGCAACAGTCCTGGTGGATTGACAGCTAGCCCAGGAACTCCGGTGTAATCTCAATTCTTCCCCCAATTCCCTCTCTGGCCTTGGGCAAACAACGCTCATTACTTCTGTTACTCAGATACCAGCACACCTCAGGAGGGCTATTGAAAACACTGGCTAATATTCAAGTGCCTTGTAGATAAAGGGCACTAGAAAAACAACTTTTGTGGTACAGAGATGTCTGGAGTGGCTCCGTGCCCACGTGGCGTGTGGAGCTTTTGCTAACTTGGTGTGTAAGAAGTTTGTTTCTTCCTGGATCATCTTCAGAGTAACTGAGTGGGATTTTTCTTCCCTAAGACAAAAGGGATGCTTTCAATTAGCACTCCTGGGAAAACACAGCCTGTAATTATTATGGAAGCTGACAAATCAACATAAAGACTAAGTGAATCTAGTCCTGGGGTCAGTGCTATGGCTGGTGACAAGTAAAACCTACAGGCAGCCATGGCTGCAGAAAATTTACACTCAAGGCAATTGAAGGTGCTTCTGAATTTGGCAACACCTGATTGCCATATTCAGTCAGTGGCCTTCAGAAAGATTTTTAAGGATATTAATCAGAATCTGCAAGTTGAAAACAGTTTGGAAAAAAACACATTTCTATTGCCTGCTTAGTGATATTGCAGGTCCCAACAAGCCCATTTCTAGTGTTCATTAAAGTGAACAAGGACCAGTCTTTTCTCTTAAAGTACACTTCAGAAATTTATTTTATCCACAGAACCTGAGCAACTGAGCTCCAGAGCAGTAGCAAGTGTTGGCAGTGACAGGAGAGCAGGGAAGGAATGTGTGAGCATTCCTCAGCCTCTGCAAAACAGGGTTCCTGGAACAGGAGACAACTGGAAAACTCTCATTAACAAAAGGAGGATGGCAGCACAAGAGATTTAGCACAAGCCTGTGGTTTTTTCAGAAGATGCAATGATCTGTGTGTGCAAAAATGAACATTGGGCCCCTCAGGACTCCCGCTTGGAGATCTCTGGTTAGAAGAACTTCCCCCTTGCTTTCCCCTACAGTGAATTTAGGAGCCACTCAACTTGTTTCTCTCTTAATAAGGAAAAAAGGATACATTTTTATTTCCCTACCATAAGCGTATAAATATACACACCCCAACATGCATGAAAAAAGAATGATGAAACAAAGAAGAAAGTTTTCTGTTATTTATACAAGACCTTTCCATCAGCAGGAACACCCAACTCTTCTGACAACTGGGGATGAATTATCCACTTATAAGCTTCTTTCAGCTGAACGATGTCATCCTTTGCCAAGGGAAGGCCCAGATTTCTGAATCACAAAGAAATAATGACTTGCACAGGGGTCTGTCAAAAATAGATACATGACATACAATATTTCAAGAGGAACTTAAGTAACTACTGCCAAGTAAAACAGATTTTTTTTTTTTTCTGTGAGCTGAGGAAACTGATGCCAGAGCTTCCTGGGAGATCAAAAGTTGCAAGTCTTTCCAGAGCCTGCCCAGAGAAAAGCTGAGGAAGAGAGAGATGCATTTCAAACCACTTGTTTGGGAAGTTAGAGAGCAAAAGAGATAAGAAACCTCAAGTAAGTTCAAAGCAGGTTAAAAAGAAAGAAGAAAATACACAAACCCATCTGCCACCTTATTCTTTGTAAGCATCAGGTAAACTGGACTATGAATCAACATTTATATAGAGAAAAAGTGTCTGTATGAAGAGTTCTTGTCAGACAGACAGACAGACAGACAGACAGCAAAAGCAATGGCTCACCTCATCTGCTGCTTCACCCCCAGCCAAGCAGCACGCTGCAGGTCACCAGCCATGCCCAGGGAAAAGAGAGGAAAAAACAAAAGCAAGTGAAATTAAGGCTCAGAACTCCCAACAATCTGAGAGACTCTTTGCAAAAGGAGAAGTGTTTTTAAAACTTGTGACAAAAAAGAAGTATCAGGAATTTAGCTTTTGCTTCAGAAGTGGAAAGATGGAATTGCTGTGAGTTTTTATTTCTAAGACATCACTTTGCTCTTCATGTCATAGCCTACCTGGCTTTAAAAAAAAAAAATAAAAAAAAAAAATGAGGTATCATTAAACACTTTGAAACTTGCTATTAATACTGTAACTACAAAAAGACTGTAAGTCATCAGTTATCTTCCATACATAAATAAAAAGGGTCTAAATGAATGGTATATGAAAGCTGATTGACATAAATTAATGAACCCCCAAATTCAGCTATCACCCATTATAAAAAATTGAAATGAAAATATACTTGGTCTTATGGTAATCACAGAATTGGCTTCTTATTTACAGCACACCATTTAGTTTAGGTGAATAGGCTAAATATGGAAAAAGTGAGGAAGAGAAGGAATAATTCTAGAAATCAGATGGGAACCCAAATGTTCAAGTTCACTAACAATTAGAAAAAAGAGAAAAACTCCGACAGTGAAGCACAACAACATTTTCAGCTCTCCTCTACTAACAACAACTACAGAATACATTAGGACTGGCAGGAAACCACTTAACTAATTCAGCCTGTGTCACCATCCTCACTGAAGATGAATTCCAAAAATCAAGTTGTTTGATTTGAATCCACCACAATGAAACTTTTCAGCCTATAGGCAGCAGACTTTTAAATCCCTTCCCCATCTTTCATTTTTTCATATACTTAAAGAATAACCTCCTCCAAACTCTGCTGAAAGAACCACTGTGCATTGTCAAGAAAATAATTCTGAGGAAGAAGTTTGAAAACAGGTCTCAAACTTCAGGAAGAAGGGTCAGGATCACATGGATATCAGAAGAAACCACATCATGGACTCCTTTTCCATACAGATAAGGAACTCAACAAAATAAGCCTATCATCCTTCACTTGGTACATCTAAATGAATGAGGGAACCCTGAAGACAGTGCCAGAAATTAAGAGGGAAGAGGGATGGCGGAGAAAGGACACAAACTTTGTTAGATCCATGATGCACAAACCCACACTGCTGAACTAAACAAATGCAGTTGTAGTGATGAAATCCCATTTGCTCAAATCCACTGTGATTCAATATCCTGCATTTGAAGACAGTATGAGTAAGGCTGCTCCACTTGAAGTATATTGTAATCCTGTTTGCATAATAACCCAGATAAAATCATAAATAAAAATAGCTTCCATTGAAATTCCTTAAGTGTAGATCTGAACTAGAGGATGTAACAACCACAGAACTGAGCCTAGGAATCTGCATTTGACAAATGCCAATTTACAAAGAAACCTCTCTCATGCCTTGATTCAGAGCACATGCAGGTTTGGGATGGTTGGGACTCAGGGGGAGGCTAATCTCACTCCTCTTCCCTGTTTTCTTGGGATAAAACTACAAAATAGACAAAACTTCTTCACAGGAGCAGCCATGCTAAAATGAGACCACAGGTCAAATTTCATCTCCCGTCTCTCTCGACTTCTACAATGAAAGAGAATTAAAGAAATTACTTTTCCCCTTCAATTAAGGGGAAAAAAATAGATGAGAGTACTGCAAGCACAGAAGCCAAAAGATCCCAAATTCCAAATCGCATTCAACCACCAAGCCAGCCAAACTCCTCTACTCTCTCCCAGCTGAATGTGGAGCAGGGGATCAGATCCCTCTACTTCGTAATTACTTCATGTTTGTGAAGTGGTTTGGAAATGAAAAATGCTCATTACAGAGCTGAAGCCTGCAGGGCAATGCTCAGCAGCAAATCCATCTCTGGAACACACCAGCCCGGGCACTGTATTGATTAGGAGCTGCAGGATATTACTCTGGTGCTATCTGAGGGAGCACAATGGCAACAGTTGAAATACCCCGTGCAATCCCAGCCACAGCATTGTTTCAGTGCATTAGAAAGGAGCTTGGAGATGGGGAATTCCAAGATGAGGCACAGGCAGCCCTACAGGGAGTAATGACTACAGATGTTATTTGCATCAATGTCCTTGTAGCAAGCACCAGGATGATGGATCACGACTGAGACCACAGGCAGAGCCAGCAGTCACCCTTCTGAAGGGCACCACTCACTTCATATTCTAATAGAGCTGTCTGACATAAACTTGGGACTCCTGTATTTATGATTTATTTCAATCAAATCTCCTACTTGTGGAAGGAGGCAATTGCTTCCCTGCATCACAGATACAAATACTATGCAAATGTAGATTTTATGTCCCGCTCTTCTCCAGCTCCTCTCGTACATTTTAGACTTGGCAGGATGACAACTGTCATAATTAAATGAGATGAAGGTAATACTGAAAGGCAGTTTCTGATTTTTTTTTGTTAAAAAAGATGATGGAGAAAATCTGTGTGTCACACCAGAGGGCAGAGGGAGAGAGGCTGCCTTTGGGTGTTCTTTGATGATAGGATTCCACATGTTCTTGTACACAGCAGGTCAAAGAATTAAAAGCAGAATTTAACAAATTGCTTCTTTTCAGCACAAAGCATGTTGAGATATTCTGATACCTGATTTTGATACTTTCAGGCATTTTTACATACTGTATTGCTGCTTTTCTGTGGCTGTAAAACAGGTTCTCACCTGTCTTTTTTAAGTGATAAACTGATAGGAGGTAAATAAAGCCCCATGATTTTTAAAGTTCTTTCTCCACCATCACCCCTTTTCACCCCTGCATTTGGAGCAAACAGCTGCTTTGGCACTTGACAAGACAGGAGGGATGGAATGGAAAGGACAGCAGAAACTTCTAAATCCAAACCTTCTCCCAGTCAAATCAGAAGTGCTTCCAAAGGGAACAGATTCAGTTTTGGAGCTTCCTACTCATTCCTTTCAGTCCATCTGTTGATTTGTGGGCCCGCAGAACAACTCTGACTCCCTTGGCTGTCCCAGCACCGCTGCTTTGTTGGAACACGAGCAGCGAGGACATCCCTCACCTGAACTGCAATGCAACACCACCCTCTACCGAGGCTTCCTGCAAACATCAGGGGCTCTTGGATCGCCTCAGCTGACACCAGGCTTACAGCTGGAGTAAAGCTTGCTAAAGTCTGACCTACGTTTGGGGTTTGCCAGAGCATCACAGGCATCCAAATACTCACCTAGGCTGAAAGTGCTTTTTGACAGACCTCATTTTCTGGACGCATCAAAAAGCAAACTGGGAATCAGGGCAGTTCACCCAGCCAGAAAGGACAAAGCAAACACACCAAGTGTGCTCAGTTGAAGATGGGAAGTAGAGAATCTTTATGCTCCAGACGATTTTGGAGTAGAATATTTGTTAGCTGTTACAGTGGCACTTGCCCAAGATGCCACAGCACAAACCACCACTACACGTGCAGGAGGTTATTTACCGAACTCTGGGAGCAGAAGAGACTTCACCACAGCTTTACAGAGAAATCTAACACCATCTCCCCTTCTTTCTGCCATGTTCACTGAAGCCTCCACCACATCTTAACCCCAGCAGGCACCTCCTGTACAGATTGATGTGTTGCCCTTTCAAACACCACTTTTGCATCACTTTTAGAACAGTGCTTTTGCATCGTTTTCTAGCAGAAAGCAGAGAAAGACTGCAAAGTATCTCACAACTAAGTGTATTTTCCCATCATTTAAAATGCTGAACACTTCAAGACTTCATCCTCAAATTCCTTCATTTGCATTCTGCACTACCAATTATCATTTATCCCTGGAAAGGCACCAGCTGTGCAGTTCTGTCTCTGAGAAGATCCACAAAGCAGGGCTGGCATCTGCTCCAAAGGGAACAATTCACTGAGGGTTTCAACAAACTCCTTTTAGGTCTTCAGATGGAAAGTAACTCCTGGGCTAACTGAAAACTGAAGTGACTCAGGCCCTTTATTAATTACAATAATACTCACAAGGAAGGGGAGAGGAGATTTCACTTTGGGTTTTTTTAAATAATACCAATTAAAAATCAAACCACTTCCAGCTCATACATTCTACAGTTACTTTCTTAAATATGTATTTAATTATTTAAGTTATTATTTGAGTTACTTACCTCCCTGACAGACAGCTGTGGGGGAAGTGACACAGAAAATACAAAACTGGTGAACTGGTAGTCAGCAGAATTAACTTTTTGGCACAGCTGTAAGAGAAGGAGCTTAATATGAAACTACAGCAATGGGACTGAGCTGATAATTTTTGTTCTAGGATAATCACTGTGAATTCATGTTCACACACACTCAGAGAGATGCTCAACTTACAAACCAGAGTAATCACTAACAACTTATTGAAATATAAGCTTTTCTGTCCTGTTAAAAGGAGTTACTACTCAACAGTATCCTTGGTGCTATGAAACAACCAAACTCACTATTTTAAGGCCAGGACCAATTGTACATTGAAATTTTAGGTGAAATCAGCATCTCAGATAAGGAAATTTATGTATCAAATAATTAGGTTTTGCGGTGCCTCAACAAGTGGCATCAGATTTTCCATCGCTACTGAAGAGAGTAGCTCTGAAGCAAATCTTAGCAGCGGATTCTGAAAAAAGATACATATTCTGCCTATGGAAACAAAAAAGAAACACATTCTGCAACAACAGAAACTATACACTATGATTTCTGTCTAGTCCCATTTTTGATACATTCCTGCTATTAAATCAAAACCTTTTCTATCAAAACTCTGTTAAGTATCTCAGACGCCAGTGTGAGTTTTCTAGCTGGTATTTCAGTTTGTCACATGAGCAGTGCAATTGCTCAGATGACATTTGCAACACTGTGTCCACATTCTCTCCTAACTCACATTTTCTCTATTATCCACAATCTGTTGCATCACCAAAACGTTTTCTTCCCCTCTGGTACTTCATAAAGACATGTTCATGCTGCATTAGAAATGTGTAGTTCAGAGAACAGCACTTGATGACTCCTCATTTTCCTGTCACATAAAAAAGGCGAACAGAGATCGCCAGTTCCACCGAGGTTTTCCTTAAAAGCAGCTGAACCTCAGGTCATGTCCTAAATTCATGTAGCCACATATCTGTTAGTCCTTTTCTTAGGAAAGTGTGCTCCCTGCAGTCATTCCATTGCACCTGCACTGCTATTTTTTTTTAAAAAAAAGTGCCACTATGACAAAGCTTGGGCAAAATTCCATCCCACCACAGATGCAAATTCCCAGCTGCAGGTGTGCAAACACTGCCCAGGAGTAGGATGCAGCAGGATTCTGCCTCCTACATTTCAAATCTTCAAAACAGGCAAATGTTTTGGTCTGCTGTCTGGTCTTTTTCTTTCAAAAGAAAGAGAAAACATTTATTTGGGAAAAAAAACAGCAAAAAAACTTCACAGTGTTTTCAGTCACCTGCTCTGTCCTGTAGGCCCAAACATACACAAGCTCCAATAAAGTACCCCAAAAGGCTACAAATTTACCTTTTTTACAAAGTCAGCCTCACAGAACTGCTGGAGAATTCCCAAACACACGTTGCAAACCTTCCCAGCCGAGCTCTCCATGGCAGTATTCCCGCTGTCAGCTGAGGGCAGCTGCGGGATGGCTCCGTTGTGGTTCACATCATCAGCACCTTCTTCCCTGTGTTCAAGTTTGATTCTCTTACAAGGTGGGTCAGCCACATCCAAACAGACTGTGCCTTCATTTTCCTGACTGTTCTTCAGAAATTCCTGCAAATCCTTCAGCAAATCCTAACACAAAGAGGAATCACACTGTGGTTTGTTTGTTCCTCTTTAACAAGCACAATTCCATAAGGCAGTATTATTCCAGCTGAGGCTTAGTGTATGTAATTAACAACATGAATTTATGCCCAAAGACATCTTTAAGACACAATTCAACAGCTCCAAGCTGCATTTCTCTCAAAATAGAAACTACCAGAGAAAATATTGCTGAATAGACTTGTTAATCATCCAAGAATGAAAATATTTTCTGACTTGCAGAAACACATTTATCTTTGCCCCATCACTATTCCATGAAAAGAGACACTTAGTGCTTTCTTGTAATTTAGACTATGTTAGAATTTAATTCCTTCAACTCCACTAGACCAGGAAGAGAGTTGGCCATTATAACTAAAAGAAAAGAGAGCAGACACAAGTGGGGGTGAAATTAAACACCCACAGTTCTTACACAGAGTAAGAACTTTTTATCAGGAGAGAAGCCTTCAAAAATTAAGCATTACCTGCATGTCTCTGATTCCTGGAAGGATGAGAGACAAGACATAGTTCTGGAAGAAGGATTTATTAAAAGGCTTTCAGTAAGGAAGAGAGCAGTTACTGTGCTGCAACTCAGAGAAAAATCAGGTAGAGATGCAAAAAGATAAAAAACGGCAGAATGAACAAACACTCCTCAAATAATTGATAAAAAATGGAAAAGGATAGGGAAGAAAGATGTTAAAAATGAATTGCGGAGAGTCTAAACTTGAGGAAAGGTAAAACAATCAAGAGAGACAGCAGCAGACACAAGCATAAAGACAGGGGATTAGAGCAAGTTAAGAAGGATGGCTAATAACACTATGGTTCTCTGATTTATCTTTTTTTTTAAATTTACCTTTGCTCTGCAATTCTTCAGTTGCATCCCCCTACCAATTCTGCAATTTCATGCAAATTTTCTTTACATTGAAGGAAAAAACACAGTTTTCCATAACTCCTTTTCCTTTCAGGCCAAGAGCCCAAGAACACAACAAAGGACAAACCTGGTGTGGATGTCTGTAGAGCATCTGTGATCCCACGCAGCAGAACCTCAAAACACATCGTGGGCAAGTGCCAGTGTTGAGTAAGAACTGAACAATTGGTCTGTCCTTCTCTGTCAGTGAAGACATGCTGGGCAAATCTAAAATTCAACACAGAGAAGTAAAAAGAAAAGCTTAGAACTAACACAGTTCAGCAATTCAATAAATAAAAGACTCAGCTGAGACTTAACTGCAGCATATTTGGAGTAACTGGAGGTTTTTTTGTCCTCTAGAGAAAAATTTGGTATACGTGTTTGTTTTAAATCAGAGGCACAAGAAAAGTGGAAGACCAACCCAAAAAAGACCACTGAGTGGAGGAAAAACTTCTGTATTTCTTAGGTTTTTCCTAGAAAACCTGACCTTGAGTTCTGACCAGGAAATGCTGAGCTTTTGCCCAGTGTTACCTTGGATAAAATACATGACATGCTAATCTTTACTGAATGAAGGAGGGTGGAACTATGACATATTAAGGCAATTTTAAAATGGGAATTCCTTCTAAAATTGCAGTGACTAAAGAATCAGTGTGTTAAAATCACAGGGAGAAAAAAAAAATAAATAAGAGGCTCAAGTCATCCCCTTTTGTCACACAAAGTTTCTCCAATTTTTAAAGATTTACTTCCCTTCTCAATATAGGACTTGTGTTCTTGTGAGAAATCTCACAATGTTTTTTTTCACCCCTAAAATATTATGGCTAATTTGGTTTCCTATCATTCTCTCTGCCCAGAACTTTAGAAAAGACTGATTTTTTTTTTTTTTGTCCAAAATTTTGTGATGGGATTTTTTTGGAAGAAGAGAAATTCCCAGTGACGTGCTCATCCTTCCTGGACATCTAGGAAATTTCAGGAGGCACATCAGGATAACCACAGTTGTTCAGACCGAAGGTTTAATGAGTCAATTGTCACTCATTAGTGGGAACAAATTCAGCAAGGAATTCCACAGTACTAATGAACCACCTGATTTTGCTTTGGGCTTAGCTCCTGCAAGCAACATTTGATACTCTCCTAGTTTTGTGTCCCAAGGGATGGGATATATCCATGTTCTCCATGCCAGCCCCAGACTGTTACACCTGCAATATCCAGTCCTGCTCAGAAGTTCCTTGCACAGCCATGGAAAACCTCCACAGCACGGAAAAGTTATTAAATTCAGTGAATTTCCTTAGTCCTGGGTCTGGATGCTTTATGGCAAGCTGTAAAAACTAAGGGCTACCTGCAAAACTTCAAAGCTGCTTTTAGAAAGAAAGAACAAACACAAACGCACTTTTAGGTAACTGCAATCCCAGTGCACCTCCACTGACTCAAATACCGGCACGGTGTGACACATAAGGGCAAATGTGGCAATATTCCTGACATTTGGTGCTGCTGTGAGGGGAGGAATCGGGGCCGCCGCTCCGCCGCAGCACCTCAGGGCAGTGCTCAGAACCCCTAATGTGTGAGGGGGAAGGGGAGCTCAGCAGCGCGTTCCGGCTCCATTCCGCACCATTCGCATTCCCGCTCCCATTCCCGGTCCGCTCCCATCCCCATTCCCAATCCCGATCCCGCTCAGGAGCTCGTTCCGGCTCCGTTCCCGCACCATTCGCATTCCCGCTCCCATTCCCGGTCCGCTCCCACTCCCAATCCCGGTCTCGCTCACCCCTCGCTCGGCGGCCCGCGGAGCCGGCACAGGCCCGCTCAGCAGAGCAGCGGAGCGCATCGCTCGGCCGGCGCGGCGGGGCGCCGCGTCCGCAGGGCGGCTGGTGGAATAGCTCGGCGCTCCCGCGTGGCGCCTGCCAGCGGGCGGAGCCGAGAGAGGCCGAGCCCGAACCGAGCGAGGCCGAGTGAGACCGAGCCGGGGTCGAGCCGGAGCCGAGCGAGGCCGAAGCGGAGCCGAGCGAAGCCGAGGGAGGCCGAAGCGGGGCCGACGGGGCGCGATGGCGGCGACGCCGCCGCCCAAGCCCTGGGAGTCCCGGCGGCTGCCGGGCACCGCGCCCGCCTTCCAGTGAGTGCGGGCGTCCCTCCCCGGGTGTTCCCGCCGCGACGGTCCCGGGTGTTCTCTCCCTCGGGGCGGCTGGGCCCGCTCCGCTGGGGCGGGCTCAAAGGTCGGGCCCGGCCGGGGCTCCGGGGGACGGGCGGGGGCGCGGCCCGGGGCTGCCCCGCGCCGTGAGGGGCTTGTGCCAGGCGGGGAGGGCTGCGCTCGGCGTGCGGGGCTGCGAGCTCGAACCCCGCGGGTGTCAGAGGGAAGCTGCGTGTGCGGTGTGGGGAAGGGAAAGCGGTGTTGCCAGCGGTGGTGGAGTGAGTTCACAGTCCGTTCCTGGCAGCATTAAAGGTCCGTTCCTGGGAGCATTCACAGTCCTTTCCTGGGGCTGTGCAGCTCCGTGAGCTCCCCAGCCTCTGCAGGACATGGGGAGCTGCGTGTCGCCCCCAGGACTTGGAAAAGATTGCCGTGTATTGTCAGTCTCGGTGTTCCCGACTTCTCTCCCAGAAAACGCAAACATTCTCGTGGAGAAGGATGCACAGAAAGCGTTTGTAAACTCCTTCCTTTTTGTGGGAAGTCAAGGAAGGCTCGCTCGGTGGCTGAATACTCGTCTTGTTTTTCACTTGGTGACTGCAGCTGGAGGGAGCTGAAACTGGGCAAAAGGTTGGCCCAACACTAAACATTGAGCAGAAACTTAGCTGTGTTCTCTGCAGCCTGCAGCGAGCTGAGCCAGCAGTTTGGTGTTGGTTATTCGTTCTGAGTTTATTTACCCCATTTTAAATAGCTTCAAGCAGCTTTAAAGTAGGGTGTCCCAAGCTGAGTACCGGAGAGAGGAGTGCAGTGTGACTTACTGAATTACAGCAGTTCTCTTTGCTGGGGTAATAACTTATTTTTCCTCCCGTTTCCACCTGCCGAGAGAGTTACAGTCTGTGATGGAAAAAACAGCAGTGTAAAGATACAAATATTATTCTTTGCTGTGGAAACCTGTAAGTTTTGCTGAGAGGTGGCTGTTGCCTGCCTTGTATGGAAATAGTACAGCAAGCAGCAGCTCCATAGCAATTCCAAGCTTGACTTCCTTCTTTTTTTTCTGGTCTGCAGAAGTGGGAACTCGTGGGATGAGGCTGTAAGCATGGGAAATAAAATGTTTTACTTTTAGAGTGATAATGTGTGAATGAAACACATATATTTTTATTAAACTGGCAGAAGTTGGACAAAAAGCTGCTTGACAGAATTCAAATGCCAGTCAAGTACTTCCAGAGTTTTATTCTGAAGGGAATTGATAAAATGATTTAAACTTGTGGGCATTCAAAGGAAAAGAAAAATTATTAAATTAAGACCTCTGTCTGCCAGCACTTCTCAGTAGTAGATTCAATCCCTTGATAATCTGCACACAGGTAATCAGGTAGTGTGGGTAGAGAGGGTAACTGGGCACCCCAAAGCCCTTGCACATATTGTTGCATAATTACTTAGATTTTCAATAAGATCATGCCACCCTTGAAGAGTGGATTCAGAGGAGCTCTCAAGCTTTCTTCCTGCTGTATCATTGGCTCATTGTGTAGGAGAGCTGGGAACAAGGGTTGGAAATGAAGATTTCAGATTGGAAAGTTCATAAAAGTTCGTGTTAGAGCCTATGAGAGTCTTTCACGTGCAGAAGAGTGACCTGGGTGTTAGAGCAGCAGGTTTGATGGCTCTGGGTTGTGTTTTTCATGTGTTGATACATTAAATACACAATAAATGATAGAATGAACAAAGTTTTTCCATGTTTCCATTCCAGCTTCATGTTCACACTGAATATCTGATTATGGGGGTTTTATTCCCCTGAAGGATCAGATTTCCTGGCCAGATATTTTACTTCCAGCAAACGCTGTCTGACAATTCTGAGTGTTGGGCTCCCAGGTTCCCTATCCCTGCACTGCTGAAACTCTCTGTGGTACTTAGTAGTTAGCCAAGGGCTCTGTGGAAAGGAAAGCTTAAACTTTGGCTGCTGACCTTGTGATTCTGAATTCATTTAGGTCTGCTGACTTGGGTGACAACCTGCTGACCAGGCCCGGACAACCCACGGTGGCACGAATCCCTCCACCCATTTTGCCGAGACCGTCGCAGCAAACGGCAAGCAGCAGCCTGAGCGCTTTCAGGCCAGCCTATAGCAGCTCTTTCTCTCCAGGCTATGGCTCATATGGCACCTCTTTCTATGGAAGCTATAGTCCCTACAGCTATGGCTACGGAGGGCTGGGCTATAACCGCTTCTGTGCCGATGGAATTCCCCCCAGCAGGTTTGTGCAGCAGGCTGAGGAGAGCAGCAGAGGTGCCTTCCAGTCCATCGAAAGCATCGTGCACGCCTTCGCCTCGGTCAGCATGATGATGGATGCAACCTTCTCTGCTGTCTACAACAGCTTCAGAGCTGTGCTGGATGTGGCCAACCACTTCTCCCGCCTCAAAATTCACTTCACCAAGGTGTTTTCAGCTTTTGCTCTAGTGAGAACTATAAGGTACCTCTACCAACGCCTGCAGCGCTTGCTGGGTCTGCGGCAGAGCTGCGAGAACGAGGATTTGTGGGCTGAGAGTGAGGGCAAAGTAGCTCGTGCTGGCCTTGAAGACAAGGTGGCTAACTCTGCAAAATCCTGGCCTATTTTCTTGTTCTTTGCTGTTATATTGGGAGGTCCCTACCTGATTTGGAAGCTGCTTTCTACATACAGTGACGAAGAAACAGGTAAAGATGACCTGCAGCACCAGAGAAGTGCAGTGTGTATTGTTCCTTTTGTTGTTGCCTGTATAGTGATAAATCTCACACTACAGTACTAGTAATTAATAGATACTGAACAGTAATTAATAGAACTGAATTCTAGGGGACACAGTACTGAATTTCAGGCATGTGATGCAAGTGACAGCCTGCTTAAGTAACCTGTCGTTAAGATGTGATTTCCTGCTGAAGCTTTCTGTGGTTCCAGAATCATGGTTCCTCTCAATTTCTGGTTCCTTCCTATTTGATGTGGCAGTTTGAGTTGGTTGGGACAAGTGTTGGTTGGATTTGCTCAAAAAATCTTGCTTTTCATGTTACTTCTGTCACTTCTCTGTGGGAAAAGTGTTAGCAAGGAAGTGAAAGTGTTTTCTTCATTTTCCTTTGAAAAACACGCCAAACCTTGTAACTCAAAGCAGATAAACTTGTGATTTGTGTTTGCAAACAGTGTCTAGTAACTGGGCGAGTGGAGAAGATGACCATGTAGTTGGAAGAGCAGAATATGATTTCAGTGCTCTCTCAGAAGAAGAAATTTCTTTCCGTGCTGGTGACATGCTAAGATTAGCACCCAAAGGTAAACTTTTGATTTTCTGATTATTTTCTAATCACATATGAAGTTACAATGTAAGAGTCTAAAAATTTAAACAAAAAAGCCCTCAAACCACCTTATTTGACCAAATTCCTTATCCACACTGATATTTCCTCCCTGTTAAGTGATTACTTCCATTCAGATAAAACTTACAGAGTAGTTTTGTTCCGTTTTGTTGAATTGTCTTGTAACTTGATGCATTTGCATTCTCTTCTTCAGAACAACAACCCAAGATCCGTGGTTGGCTTCTGGCTAGTTATGACGGCCAAACGACAGGACTTGTGCCAGCTAATTACATCAAAATCCTGGGCAAAAGAAGAGGTAGGAGAACAGCGGACCCGGAAAGGGTTCCGGAGCAGCGGCCAGCTTTCCCCAGCACAGCTGTCAGAGGACCCCCTGCTGCTGTGACTTTAGAGGAGCAGGAAGCTGCTTTTGAAACTGTTTTTGCTGGATGCAGCAAAGTTCCCATTGCATCGGACTCCGCTGTGGCCGGTGGAGAGAAGCAGGAACTCTGATGCACTTTGATCAACAAAGCGACTGAACTGTGCTTTATTGATACCACTTAGGGTTTGTTGAAAATCTGGTTTGTAATGGAGCACTGTGGGTCTGTACTGCTGCTACTGGTTGGTGAAGGGATGGAGAAATCATTGCTCAAATTTGTGGTATTTATTTTTGACTCACCTAAGGCTGCACCAGTGATTCTACCCACCCACCTGGCAGCAACTCTGAGATCTTGAGATAGGAGAAACGAGGCATTTAGAAAAAAGCAAACAAAGGGAAAAAAAATAGGGCCTGCCATTCTTGTTTAGGAGACAAATTAACACCCAGTCTTTGTAGTATTGAGCCTCTTGAGTAGATGTGCAAAGGGAAGGTTGATTTCTGTAAGCTGTCCTCCAGAACTTCATACTCAGAACCATGAAGGAGTAAAACACATTGGCTCCCTCTGAAAGGAGGGAGAGTTGCAGGAGATGCACACAGTTGAATAGTTAGAAGGTTTAAGTTGCTTTTCATAAGAAGTAGGTTTCTATCATAAAGAACTTAGCTCTTAGAATAAAAGGGAGAAACTTGGGAGGAAGGGAGGAGAAACAGAGTTTACAAAGGGAGAGCAGTGAGGCATCACCAGTAGTTCTAAGCAGTTCTGTTTTGTTTATTAAAAGGACGTTAGAATAAAGGGTATTCTGCAGTCAGGCACTCATCAGTTGTTACTCCCTTAACCAACTTTGCATCATTCTTAGCCATGTTGTGTTGTAGCCTGTTAGCTGCTTATCTATCAGCCACCATCTGCATCTCAACTTATTTCTGTCCTTTAATTGATTTTATATGAGTGTCAAAATATCTATCCTGCATTTTTCAGCAGTAGGAAAGCCTTGAGTT